ATTTGTATACAGTCTGTGTTAGCATTAGCATCTGTATACAGTCTGTGTTAGCATTAGCATCTGTATACAGTCTGTGTTAGCATTAGCATCTGTATACAGTCTGTGTTAGCATTAGCATCTGTATACAGTCTGTGTTAGCATTAGCATCTGTATACAGTCTGTGTTAGCATTAGCATCTGTATACAGTCTGTGTTAGCATTAGCATCTGTATACAGTCTGTGTTAGCATTAGCATCTGTATACAGTCTGTGTTAGCATTAGCATCTGTATACAGTCTGTGTTAGCATTAGCATCTGTATACAGTCTGTGTTAGCATTAGCATCTGTATACAGTCTGTGTTAGCATTAGCATCTGTATACAGTCTGTGTTAGCATTAGCATCTGTATACAGTCTGTGTTAGCATTAGCATCTGTATACAGTCTGTGTTAGCATTAGCATCTGTATACAGTCTGTGTTAGCATTAGCATCTGTATACAGTCTGTGTTAGCATTAGCATCTGTATACAGTCTGTGTTAGCATTAGCATCTGTATACAGTCTGTGTTAGCATTAGCATCTGTATACAGTCTGTGTTAGCATTAGCATCTGTATACAGTCTGTGTTAGCATTAGCATCTGTATACAGTCTGTGTTAGCATTAGCATCTGTATACAGTCTGTGTTAGCATTAGCATCTGTATACAGTCTGTGTTAGCATTAGCATCTGTATACAGTCTGTGTTAGCATTAGCATCTGTATACAGTCTGTGTTAGCATTAGCATCTGTATACAGTCTGTGTTAGCATTAGCATCTGTATACAGTCTGTGTTAGCATTAGCATCTGTATACAGTCTGTGTTAGCATTAGCATCTGTATACAGCCTGTGTTAGCATTAGCATCTGTAAACAGTCTGTGTTAGCATTAGCATCTGTATACAGTCTGTGTTAGCATTAGCATCTGTATACAGTCTGTTAGCATTAGCATCTGTATACAGTCTGTGTTAGCATTAGCATCTGTATACAGCCTGTGTTAGCATTAGCATCTGTATACAGTCTGTGTTAGCATTAGCATCTGTATACAGTCTGTGTTAGCATTAGCATCTGTCTACAGTCTGTGTTAGCATTAGCATCTGTATACAGTCTGTGTTAGCATTAGCATCTGTATACAGTCTGTGTTAGCATTAGCATCTGTAAACAGTCTGTGTTAGCATTAGCATCTGTATACAGTCTGTGTTAGCATTAGCATCTGTATACAGTCTGTTAGCATTAGCATCTGTATACAGTCTGTGTTAGCATTAGCATCTGTATACAGTCTGTGTTAGCATTAGCATCTGTCTACAGTCTGTGTTAGCATTAGCATCTGTATACAGTCTGTGTTAGCATTAGCATCTGTATACAGCCTGTGTTAGCATTAGCATCTGTATACAGTCTGTGTTAGCATTAGCATCTGTATACAGTCTGTGTTAGCATTATCATCTGTATACAGTCTGTGTTAGCATTAGCATCTGTATACAGTCTGTGTTAGCATTAGCATCTGTATACAGTCTGTGTTAGCATTAGCATCTGTATACAGTCTGTGTTAGCATTAGCATCTGTATACAGCCTGTGTTAGCATTAGCATCTGTAAACAGTCTGTGTTAGCATTAGCATCTGTATACAGTCTGTGTTAGCATTAGCATCTGTATACAGTCTGTGTTAGCATTAGCATCTGTATACAGTCTGTTAGCATTAGCATCTGTATACAGCCTGTGTTAGCATTAGCATCTGTATACAGTCTGTGTTAGCATTAGCATCTGTATACAGTCTGTGTAAACATTGTTCTTCTAAACCAGACCTGGGCAAAGTGTGGCCTGGGGGCCACAAACGGCCCATTCATGTTTCCATGTGGCCCTCTGACCTTTTCCCAAACTTCCTCATTTAAATGAATGTGAATCAACACAAAGTGGGGGAGTGAGTGAATAATGGCATGTTATACCTGATCATGATCCAAAAAATGCACAGTACTTCTTTAGCTTTACTCCATCTTTAACGTGACGCATTTTAGACTCAGATATTCCTGCACATGATCCAAACCCAACATGTCCGCCGCTCACTGAAGTCACATGATCCAAACCCAACATGTCCGCCGCTCACTGAAGTCACATGATCCAAACCCAACATGTCCGCCGCTCACTGAAGTCACATGATCCAAACCCAACATGTCCGCCGCTCACTGAAGTCACATGATCCAAACCCAACATGTCCGCCGCTCACTGAAGTCACCTGATCCAAACCCAACATGTCCGCCGCTCACTGAAGTCACATGATCCAAACCCAACATGTCCGCCGCTCACTGAAGTCACATGATCCAAACCCAACATGTCCGCCGCTCACTGAAGTCACATGATCCAAACCCAACATGTCCGCCGCTCACTGAAGTCACATGATCCAAACCCAACATGTCCGCCGCTCACTGAAGTCACATGATCCAAACCCAACATGTCCGCCGCTCACTGAAGTCACATGATCCAAACCCAACATGTCCGCCGCTCACTGAAGTCACATGATCCAAACCCAACATGTCCGCCGCTCACTGAAGTCACATGATCCAAACATTCGCCGCTCCTGAAACATGTCCGCCGCTCACTGAAGTCACATGATCCAAACCCAACATGTCCGCCGCTCACTGAAGTCACATGATCCAAACCCAACATGTCCGCCGCTCACTGAAGTCACATGATCCAAACCCAACATGTCCGCCGCTCACTGAAGTCACATGATCCAAACCCAACATGTCCGCCGCTCACTGAAGTCACATGATCCAAACCCAACATGTCCGCCGCTCACTGAAGTCACATGATCCAAACCCAACATGTCCGCCGCTCACTGAAGTCACCTGATCCAAACCCAACATGTCCGCCGCTCACTGAAGTCACATGATCCAAACCCAACATGTCCGCCGCTCACTGAAGTCACATGATCCAAACCCAACATGTCCGCCGCTCACTGAAGTCACATGATCCAAACCCAACATGTCCGCCGCTCACTGAAGTCACATGATCCAAACCCAACATGTCCGCCGCTCACTGAAGTCACATGATCCAAACCCAACATGTCCGCCGCTCACTGAAGTCACATGATCCAAACCCAACATGTCCGCCGCTCACTGAAGTCACATGATCCAAACCCAACATGTCCGCCGCTCACTGAAGTCACATGATCCAAACCCAACATGTCCGCCGCTCACTGAAGTCACATGATCCAAACCCAACATGTCCGCCGCTCACTGAAGTCACATGATCCAAACCCAACATGTCCGCCGCTCACTGAAGTCACATGATCCAAACCCAACATGTCCGCCGCTCACTGAAGTCACATGATCCAAACCCAACATGTCCACCGCTCACTGAAGTCACATGATCCAAACCCAACATGTCCGCCGCTCACTGAAGTCACATGATCCAAACCCAACATGTCCGCCGCTCACTGAAGTCACATGATCCAAACCCAACATGTCCGCCGCTCACTGAAGTCACATGATCCAAACCCAACATGTCCGCCGCTCACTGAAGTCACATGATCCAAACCCAACATGTCCGCCGCTCACTGAAGTCACATGATCCAAACCCAACATGTCCGCCGCTCACTGAAGTCACATGATCCAAACCCAACATGTCCGCCGCTCACTGAAGTCACATGATCCAAACCCAACATGTCCGCCGCTCACTGAAGTCACCTGATCCAAACCCAACATGTCCGCCGCTCACTGAAGTCACATGATCCAAACCCAACATGTCCGCCGCTCACTGAAGTCACATGATCCAAACCCAACATGTCCGCCGCTCACTGAAGTCACATGATCCAAACCCAACATGTCCGCCGCTCACTGAAGTCACATGATCCAAACCCAACATGTCCGCCGCTCACTGAAGTCACCTGATCCAAACCCAACATGTCCGCCGCTCACTGAAGTCACATGATCCAAACCCAACATGTCCGCCGCTCACTGAAGTCACATGATCCAAACCCAACATGTCCGCCGCTCACTGAAGTCACATGATCCAAACCCAACATGTCCGCCGCTCACTGAAGTCACATGATCCAAACCCAACATGTCCGCCGCTCACTGAAGTCACATGATCCAAACCCAACATGTCCGCCGCTCACTGAAGTCACATGATCCAAACCCAACATGTCCGCCGCTCACTGAAGTCACATGATCCAAACCCAACATGTCCGCCGCTCACTGAAGTCACATGATCCAAACCCAACATGTCCGCCGCTCACTGAAGTCACATGATCCAAACCCAACATGTCCGCCGCTCACTGAAGTCACATGATCCAAACCCAACATGTCCGCCGCTCACTGAAGTCACATGATCCAAACCCAACATGTCCGCCGCTCACTGAAGTCACATGATCCAAACCCAACATGTCCGCCGCTCACTGAAGTCACATGATCCAAACCCAACATGTCCGCCGCTCACTGAAGTCACATGATCCAAACCCAACATGTCCGCCGCTCACTGAAGTCACATGATCCAAACCCAACATGTCCGCCGCTCACTGAAGTCACATGATCCAAACCCAACATGTCCGCCGCTCACTGAAGTCACATGATCCAAACCCAACATGTCCGCCGCTCACTGAAGTCACATGATCCAAACCCAACATGTCCGCCGCTCACTGAAGTCACATGATCCAAACCCAACATGTCCGCCGCTCACTGAAGTCACATGATCCAAACCCAACATGTCCGCCGCTCACTGAAGTCACATGATCCAAACCCAACATGTCCGCCGCTCACTGAAGTCACATGATCCAAACCCAACATGTCCGCCGCTCACTGAAGTCACATGATCCAAACCCAACATGTCCGCCGCTCACTGAAGTCACATGATCCAAACCCAACATGTCCGCCGCTCACTGAAGTCACCTGATCCAAACCCAACATGTCCGCCGCTCACTGAAGTCACATGAAGTCAACAGAAGAACTCAGAACACGACAAAAGTCAATCATTAACTTCTTTCTCTGGTTTTCAGTTTGAAATGAGTTCATCCTCGAATGTCGCGGAAACAGACACAGACCCAGGCCCCGCCCCCATAGCCTGTCAGTCAGAACCCAGGGACATAAGCCCCGCCTCCAGAGCCTGTCAGTCAGAACCCAGGGACATAAGCCCCGCCTCCAGAGCCTGTCAGTCAGAACCCAGGGACATAAGCCCCGCCTCCAGAGCCTGTCAGTCAGAACCCAGGGACATAAACCCCGCCTCCTGTCAGTCCAGACCCAGGGACATAAGCCCCGCCTCCTGTCAGTCAGAACCCAGGGACATAAACCCCGCCTCCTGTCAGTCCAGATCCAGGGACATAAGCCCCGCCTCCTGTCAGTCAGGACCCAGGGACATAAGCCCCGCCTCCTGTCAGTCCAGACCCAGCGACATAAGCCCCGCCTCCTGTCAGTCCAGACCCAGGGACATAAGCCCCGCCTCCTGTCAGTCAGAACCCAGGGACATAAACCCCGCCTCCTGTCAGTCCAGACCCAGGGACATAAGCCCCGCCTCCTGTCAGTCAGAACCCAGGGACATAAACCCCGCCTCCTGTCAGTCCAGATCCAGGGACATAAGCCCCGCCTCCTGTCAGTCAGGACCCAGGGACATAAGCCCCGCCTCCTGTCAGTCCAGACCCAGCGACATAAGCCCCGCCTCCTGTCAGTCCAGACCCAGGGACATAAGCCCCGCCTCCTGTCAGTCAGAACCCAGGGACATAAACCCCGCCTCCTGTCAGTCCAGCCCCAGGGACATAAGCCCCGCCTCCTGTCAGTCAGAACCCAGCGACATAAGCCCCGCCTCCTGTCAGTCAGAACCCAGGGACAAAAGCCCCGCCTCCTGTCAGTCAGGACCCAGGGACATAAGCCCCGCCTCCTGTCAGTCAGGACCCAGCGACATAAGCCCCGCCTCCTGTCAGTCTGGACCCAGGGACATAAGCCCCGCCTCCTGTCAGTCCAGACCCAGGGACATAAGCCCCGCCTCCTGTCAGTCAGAACCCAGGGACATAAGCCCCGCCTCCTGTCAGTCAGAACCCAGGGACATAAGCCCCGCCTCCTGTCAGTCAGAACCCAGGGACATAAGCCCCGCCTCCTGTCAGTCAGGACCCAGGGACATAAGCCCCGCCTCCTGTCAGTCCAGACCCAGGGACATAAGCCCCGCCTCCTGTCAGTCCAGACCCAGGGACATAAGCCCCGCCTCCTGTCAGTCAGAACCCAGGGACATAAGCCCCGCCTCCTGTCAGTCCAGACCCAGGGACATAAGCCCCGCCTCCTGTCAGTCCAGACCCAGGGACATAAGCCCCGCCTCCTGTCAGTCAGGACCTAGGGATAAAAGGCTGAGCGGTGCCGTGGGCCTCATGAAGAAGGACTTCCTGAACGTGTTCAAAGAGAAAGAGGTCAAAGGCCCAGGGTCAGAGCGCTCACAGCTGAACGTCCTCAGAGACGACCTGGACCTGTTCAAGAACGAGCTCGCCATCTTCACCGGCGACATCACCGGCATCCTGAGGAGGGGGCTGCGCAGAGACGGCCCTTTCAAAATAAGAGAGGACAGGCCACAGGAACAGAGATGCAGGGAGAAGGAAGACACCGCCAAAATAAAAGTCCACATAAAAAGCAGAAGGGAGCGAGACACTAAAGAGAGTTTCACAATCAGAGCTCGGACTAAAAGAGGAGATGCCAGACGAGAGAACGGATTCAAAATGAAAGAAGAGGAAGTGGAAGAAGAGGGAGAGAAAGAGGTCTCCTTCAAAATAAAAGCCAGTGTCTCAGAGAAGCTTTGTGCCGAGGGAGAAACCCAGGAGAGCTGTCAGGAGGAAGAGTCAGGGATGAGAGAGAGTGAGGAGGATTTCAAAATAAAAGCCAAGGTAAAACAAGAAGGCAACGGCTCCTTCAAAGTAAAAGAGGAAAGCAGCGATGAGTTCAGCGACTGGGAGTTGGTGCGACCGGAGGAAACCACCGAAGAAGAGACAGAGGCAGGTAAATGAGTGTAGGTCATATTCTGAGGCTATACTCTACCCTACCCTACTCTACCCTACCCTACTCTACCCTACTCTACTCTACACTACTCAACTCTACCCTACCCTACCCTACTCAACTCTACCCTACCCTACCCTACTCTACTCTACCCTACTCTACTCAACTCTACCCTACCCTACTCTACTCAACTCTACCCTACCCTACTCTACTCTACCCTACTCTACTCTACGAACTAGAACCAGGAAGTACGACCACATTAGTCCTGACTAGAACCAGGAAGTACGACCACATTAGTCCTGACTAGAACCAGGAAGTACGACCACATTAGTCCTGACTAGAACCAGGAAGTACGACCACATTAGTCCTGACTAGAACCAGGAAGTACGACCACATTAGTCCTGACTAGAACCAGGAAGTACGACCATATTAGTCCTGACTAGAACCAGGAAGTACGACCATATTAGTCCTGACTAGAACCAGGAAGTACGACCACATTAGTCCTGACTAGAACCAGGAAGTACGACCATATTAGTCCTGACTAGAACCAGGAAGTACGACCATATTAGTCCTGACTAGAACCAGGAAGTACGACCACATTAGTCCTGACTAGAACCAGGAAGTACGACCATATTTATGTCCTGACTAGAACCAGGAAGTACGACCATATTAGTCCTGACTAGAACCAGGAAGTACGACCACATTAGTCCTGACTAGAACCAGGAAGTACGACCACATTAGTCCTGACTAGAACCAGGAAGTACGACCACATTAGTCCTGACTAGAACCAGGAAGTACGACCATATTAGTCCTGACTAGAACCAGGAAGTACGACCACATTAGTCCTGACTAGAACCAGGAAGTACGACCATATTAGTCCTGACTAGAACCAGGAAGTACGACCACATTAGTCCTGACTAGAACCAGGAAGTACGACCACATTAGTCCTGACTAGAACCAGGAAGTACGACCACATTAGTCCTGACTAGAACCAGGAAGTACGACCATATTAGTCCTGACTAGAACCAGGAAGTACGACCACATTAGTCCTGACTAGAACCAGGAAGTACGACCACATTAGTCCTGACTAGAACCAGGAAGTACGACCACATTAGTCCTGACTAGAACCAGGAAGTACGACCACATTAGTCCTGACTAGAACCAGGAAGTACGACCATATTAGTCCTGACTAGAACCAGGAAGTACGACCACATTAGTCCTGACTAGAACCAGGAAGTACGACCACATTAGTCCTGACTAGAACCAGGAAGTACGACCACATTAGTCCTGACTAGAACCAGGAAGTACGACCACATTAGTCCTGACTAGAAACAGGAAGTACGACCACATTAGTCCTGACTAGAACCAGGAAGTACGACCACATTAGTCCAGTCCTCAGGTCTCTGCACTGGCTTCCTGTGGCTCAGAGAATAGACTTTAAAACAGCTCTGCTTGTTACAAGTCTCTCCATGGCCTCGCACCAAAATATATTAGTGACATGTTAGTCCCATATGAACCAGCCCGGACTCTGAGGAGCACAGGGACTGGACTCCTGCTGGGACTCTGAGGAGCACAGGGACTGGACTCCTGCTGGGACTCTGAGGAGCACAGGGACTGGACTCCTGCTGGGACTCTGAGGAGCACAGGGACTGGACTCCTGCTGGGACTCTGAGGAGCACAGGGACTGGACTCCTGCTGGGACTCTGAGGAGCACAGGGACTGGCCTCCTGCTGGGACTCTGAGGAGCACAGGGACTGGACTCCTGCTGGGACTCTGAGGAGCACAGGGACTGGACTCCTGCTGGGACTCTGAGGAGCACAGGGACTGGACTCCTGCTGGGACTCTGAGGAGCACAGGGACTGGACTCCTGCTGGGACTCTGAGGAGCACAGGGACTGGACTCCTGCTGGGACTCTGAGGAGCACAGGGACTGGACTCCTGCTGGGACTCTGAGGAGCACAGGGACTGGACTCCTGCTGGGACTCTGAGGAGCACAGGGACTGGACTCCTGCTGGGACTCTGAGGAGCACAGGGACTGGCCTCCTGCTGGGACTCTGAGGAGCACAGGGACTGGACTCCTGCTGGGACTCTGAGGAGCACAGGGACTGGACTCCTGCTGGGACTCTGAGGAGCACAGGGACTGGACTCCTGCTGGGACTCTGAGGAGCACAGGGACTGGCCTCCTGCTGGGACTCTGAGGAGCACAGGGACTGGACTCCTGCTGGGACTCTGAGGAGCACAGGGACTGGACTCCTGCTGGGACTCTGAGGAGCACAGGGACTGGACTCCTGCTGGGACTCTGAGGAGCACAGGGACTGGACTCCTGCTGGGACTCTGAGGAGCACAGGGACTGGACTCCTGCTGGGACTCTGAGGAGCACAGGGACTGGACTCCTGCTGGGACTCTGAGGAGCACAGGGACTGGCCTCCTGCTGGGACTCTGAGGAGCACAGGGACTGGACTCCTGCTGGGACTCTGAGGAGCACAGGGACTGGACTCCTGCTGGGACTCTGAGGAGCACAGGGACTGGACTCCTGCTGGGACTCTGAGGAGCACAGGGACTGGACTCCTGCTGGGACTCTGAGGAGCACAGGGACTGGACTCCTGCTGGGACTCTGAGGAGCACAGGGACTGGACTCCTGCTGGGACTCTGAGGAGCACAGGGACTGGACTCCTGCTGGGACTCTGAGGAGCACAGGGACTGGACTCCTGCTGGGACTCTGAGGAGCACAGGGACTGGACTCCTGCTGGGACTCTGAGGAGCACAGGGACTGGACTCCTGTTAGTGCCAGAGTCAGAACTAAACATGGGGAGGCTGCTTTTCAGATTCATGCTGCTAAAATCTGGAACAGTCTTCCTGAAGATGTGAGACAGGCCTCCTCTCTGACAATGTTTAAAACCAGGTTAAAGACAGTTCTGTTTAACTGTGCTACAACTGAGGGATTTTATATTTTTATCTTTCTTTTTAATGTTCTGTGATAATTTATGATTTTAATACTTTCTTGTTTTGTTCAGCACTTTGAGTTGCCTTGTGTATGAATTGTGCTATATAAATAAACTTGCCTTGCCTTGGTCTCTGGAGGAGGACCAGGGTCCGGTCTCTCTCTTACGTCGCCTGCCGCGCAGCATCGACATGTTCTAACTACGTAAGGGTCGCCGCAAGAAAGCTCCGCTGTGATTGGTCCGTGTGTGAGAGAAGCTCCGCTGTGATTGGTCCGTGTGTGAGAGAAGCTCCGCTGTGATTGGTCCGTGTGTGAGAGAAGCTCCGCTGTGATTGGTCCGTGTGTGAGAGAAGCTCCGCTGTGATTGGTCCGTGTGTGAGAGAAGCTCCGCTGTGATTGGTCCGTGTGTGAGAGAAGCTCCGCTGTGATTGGTCCGTGTGTGAGAGAAGCTCCGCTGTGATTGGTCCGTGTGTGTGTTTTGGAAGGAAGCACGGAGCGGCTGCAGCAGGAGCATGGACGAGGCACTATGGAGCAGAGAGCTTTGTGCTTCCAAGGAAAAGCAGTTTGGGCTCAGAGCCTGATATACAGGAGACTGTGGACTATCTAACATATATATAACATATATATAACTTATACAGTGTATAAGTATTCGGCCCCTTGAACCTTTCGCCACATTTCAGTCTTCAAACATAAAGATATACATTTGAATTTTTTGTCATGAATCAACAACAAGTGGGACACAATCGTGAAGTGGAACGAAATTTATTGGATAATTTAAACTTTAACAAATAAAAAACTGAAAAGTGGGGTGTCAATGGAGTATGTTATTGTGTTATTATCATATTAATAAATGTAACGTTTAGTCTAGGATCTAAAAACTAGTAGTAAGCAGAGTGAAGAATGTGTGGAACCATCCCCCAGCCATTAAACACAGGAAGTTAAATTAAGGCAAGAACACAAGAAAGCATCTGTTTATGGTGCTTTCAGACCGGGACAGTCGTTGCGTCTGCGTTCAATGCAAAGTCAATGGGGAGTCGCGTTTCAGCGTCGCATTGCACGGACCTCTCGGCACACACGCACGGACCGCCCAGTAGAAACGCACGGACTTGGCGGGAAAGTCAGAGGGGAGGAGAAGGAGCGGAAAATGAACGCCCACAGGAGATGGATCCCGCTCAACTTTTCCTCGCGATGTTCGTGCAGCGACCAATCAGAGAGCACGCACACCACTGACGTAATCACGCCACTACACAGCGTATATTTTCCCCATTGTGAGCCAGGAACCGGTCATTTAAACATGGAGGATCAGGCTGTGGATAGTCTCATTGTCGCTGTTACAAACTTTCCAGAATTGTGGAAAGTCTCCATTCCTGAATATAGCGACAGAGCTAAGAAAGATTCGGCATGGAAGGCCATTGCGCAGCAGCTCAACCTCCCTGGTAAGTTTTTTCAGTATCATTCATTCGTAAATTGGTTCTTGTTTATGCTAGTTTTTCGAGGGGAAATTCTGACTAGTATCTGATTCTTTGCAGTCGAATTTTGCAAGAAGCGATGGCGGTCACTACGTGACACTTATATGAAACGGAAGAAAGACGTACAGAGGAGTGGCTCTGCAGCGGGGACCGCGAAGTGGAGGTACGCAAGTGCCCTTTCGTTCCTCGACCCTCCCATTACCCCGCGCCCCACCACCAGCAATATGGGTAGGGTGGAGGAAGGACCCCCTGTCGATGAGGCCTCTGCGCGACCTGAAGGTTTGTACTGGGTTGAAATGGGGACATTTGACTATATGAAATTTATATCACGTCATGCTATACAATGGCCATATCTGCAATGGTATTGCTTTCTGTAATTGAAGTTTTTATAGAAGTTTTTCTTCTCTATATATTACATTACATACATTGTATACTTGCAGACAACTGCTATGTTTACTAAAATGACAATGCATTTACAGAAGACATGAGGGTGTCATCTCCTGCGTCGGGGACATCCGACGCCACTATCCCTGCCTCTCCATACCACCCAAGGCTTCTGTTCCCCCAGGAAACACCTCCAGGTTAGCATCACATATCATATACTTGGTTCACGTCTGCGACCAGTTATATCTGTTGTCCGTAGTGTGCAATTTCTAAAGATGTATTTCCTCCTGTTCAACAGAGCCAAAACGGAAGAGGAGCAAGAAGGCTGATCCTCCAATATCGCCTTATGAGAGAGAGCTGCTCTCTGCACTCCAGCAGAACTCTCATCAGGGCTCACCACAGAAATCAGAGGATCAGCTGTTTGTGGACAGTCTGGTCCCTCTACTTGGGAAATTGGAGCCCCAGGCCCGTTACCGAATCAAACGGAGGTTTTCAAACATAATTTACAAGGAACTTGCAGAGAAGGAAAATGCGCCACCATCCAATGTGCAGTGACCTCACTCCATGCAATTGTGTATATATGTAAATAAAAGTGTTGTGTGAATCTCTTGTGTCTATGTAGATACATTTCCTAGGTTCTTTTTAATCTTGTCATTAAGAGGCGTAGTTGTAGAAGAACCATACATTACAGAATAAATGAGCAGATAGAAAATTTACTTTGGCCCTTTACAGCATATATAGTGACATTGTAGAATTCTCCACAGCTCTGAGAATGTATAAGGCGAGTACAAAAAATGTCTATAGTTTGTTTCAGCCCTTAGCACCTGGTTGATGAGGGAACAAGGTTTGTTCAATGTTTAATAATAATCTTTATTTATATAGCACTTTTAAAAACAGTGTTTACAAAGCGCTGCACAGTCAGCATGATAAACAATAAAAACAGTCATAATGCAAGGTCAAAATAATTAGATACAGAAACACAAAGCAAACAGAGCAAAACACAAAAGAGACTCAACAAAGACAAAGCAGACAATAAAATACAGCATCGGAAGTTTAAAACTAACAGTTAAAAGCTGTTTGATAAAAGTGGGTTTTAAGAAGAGATTTAAAAGAGGATACTGATGGTGCGAGCCTTATCTCCTCGGGCAGCCATTACTTTCTCTTGTCTCTGTGATATGCTACGGTTGTTTACTGTTGTATGCTACATTGGTCACTAGATGGCGTGAAAACGGCCCTAAATCAAGGGTCGTTTTAAACAGTTTAATTACACTGTATTATGATTAAGCAAGTAAGGATAAGGGAACAGCAACTTCACATTGTAGAATTCTCCAAAGCTCAGGTAATATAAGGCGCGTACTAACATGTTACCAAATTAAAGTACAGAGGAATGTCTTTATATGACGATAACAAATGTTGAGGGCCCAATGTTAATATCTGCCATACTCGCACAAACAGTAAGGGTTTTAGTAATATCAATTGGAGTACTAGGGAACCAAAATAATATTCTGAACTCACCTACATAAAGTCTATTTACATGATCGCAGTTTCTAATATTAAAAAATTAATACTCTATCTTTAATGTGGTGTGTGTTAAACAGAGTATTTCTCATGCACAATATTCTCTATGACTGTGCACGAGAAAAGGTACGAATGGACTAATCAAAGTATGTGGTACTTTATTTTCCACTAGTGAACCATTCCATTCCAAAGCTAAATGTCTGATTTGACATTGCCTATAATCAGGGCTGAATAAGAAGGATCATAGAGTAACGTTTCAAAACAAAACTAGGTACTATGAACAACTTTTAACTTGACTTCACGTCTCGTTAGCTGTAAGTGTTTACCTAAAGCATTTTAAATTAAAACATACATTAAACAGAAACAACACTTCAAGTAAGGCAAAAATGTATTAGCGCTAACAAAATGGTGACAAAGAACAGAAATGCAGTCAGTTTCTTTCGGGGAAACCTGGCTATGTGCGTCGCCATCTTGTTGAGTTGTTGTGAATATGGAAAGCCCGCCCATACGCCTCACGCTTCCGGCGGAAGTGTAGTGAGGCGGGCGTGCTTGTGTTCGTGCGTCGTTTGGCGGTGTGCAAGCCTCTGCGTCTGAAAACTAGAGAATGCGCGTCTGGTAAGCTGGGCTGCTGCGTTTCAGCGTTTTCGGTCTGAAAGCCCCATGAGAGTAGCCTCAGGCTTACTCACACAGGGGCTATTTGTGTGTCCTGAACAGAGAAGTATTGTCTTCACCTAAGGATGTTGAGACATATGTCTTCAATTATCATGGTCATGTGACTGTGTGCTTATCATCGATAGCCTGTTCCTGAAGCAGGGGTCTTTTGCTTTTGGCTTTCCAGGGAGCAGGGCCCAGACTGGAGCAACCAGTCTGCCATTTGTCTGTATCCTGTAACCTGTCTTTTATATATTAAACCTTTTTATATATCTAAGCAGAATTTGTAGTGTCCATTTATCATCGAAGGAGAAACCGTGGCTGAACCAGCGTTAACATGGGGCCTGCAATATTATTGGGCCCCTTTACTTTCAGTGCAGCAAACTCAGTCCAGAAGTTCAGTGAGGATCTTTGAATGATCCAATGTTGTCCTAAATGACTGATGATGATAAATAGAATGTACCTGTGTGTAATCAAGTCTCCGTATAAATGCACCTGCTCTTTGATAGTCTCAGGGTTCTGTTTAAAGTGCAGAGAGAACCATGAAGACAAAGGAACACACCAGGCAGGTCCGAGATACTGTTGTGGAGAAGTTTAAAGCCGGATTTGGATACAAAAAGATTTCCCAAGCTTTAAACATCTCAAGGAGCACTGTGCAAGCAATTATATTGAAATGGAAGGAGTATCAGACCACTGCAAATCTACCAAGACCCGGCCGTCCCTCCAAACTTTCATCTCAAACAAGGAGAAGACTGATCAGAGATGCAGCCAAGAGGCCCATGATCACTCTGGATGAACTGCAGATAACTACAGCTGAGGTGGGAGAGTCTGTCCATAGGACAACAATCAGTCGTGCACTGCACAAATCTGGCCTTTATGGAAGAGTGGCAAGAAGAAAGCCATTTCTCAAAGATATCCATAAAAAGTCTGGTTTAAAGTTTGCCACAAGCCACCTGGGAGACACACCAAACATGTGGAAGAAGGTGCTCTGGTCAGATGAAACCAAAATCAAACTTTTTGGCCACAATGCAAAACGATATGTTTGTCGTAAAAGCAACACAGCTCATCACCCTGAACACACCATCCCCACTGTCAAACATGGTGGTGGCAGCATCATGCTTTGGGCCTGCTTTTCTTCAGCAGGGACAGGGAAGATGGCTAACATTGATGGGAAGATGGATGGAGCCAAATACAGGACCATTCTGGAAGAAAACCTGTTGGAGTCTGCAAAAGACCTGAGACTGGGACGGAGATTTATCTTCCAACAGGACAATGATCCAAAACATAAAGCCAAATCTACAATGGAATGGTTCACAAATAGACGTATCCAGGTGTTAGAATGGCCAAGTCAAAGTCCAGACCTGAATCCAATCCAGAATCTGTGGAAAGAGCTGAAGACTGCTGTTCACAAACGCTCTCCATCCAACCTCACTGAGCTCCAGCTGTTTTGCAAGGAAGAATGGGCAAGAATTCCAGTCTCTCGATGTGCAAAACTGATAGAGACATACCCCAAGAAACTTTCAGCTGTAATTGCAGCAAAAGGTGGCGCTACAAAGTATTAGCGCAAGGGGGCCGAATAATATTGCACGCCCCACTTTCCAGTTTTATATTTGTTAAAAAAGTTAAAATTATCCAATAAATTTCGTTCCACTTCACGATTGTGTCCCACTTGTTGTGGATTCTTGACAAAAAATTTAATTTTTATATCTTTATGTTTGAAGCCTTAAATGTGGCGAAATGTTGAAAGGTTCAAGGGGGCCGAATACTTTCGCAAGGTACTGTATCTAACTTATAAACTGTGCAGTCGTTTGTTTTGCTCTGGTCCTGTCTTGTTTGAATTGTAGCTGCGTCTGTTCCATTCCTCCTGCACTTATAAATTGTTCATGTTTGTCTCAGATATTTACCACTTTTATTGTTTTGCTGTTTGTGATGAAAACTATTTAATAATAACTATGTTTCCAACAGAACTGTGTCTTTATTCATCACAGTTAAATGAGTTGAAACGATGAGTTTAGAACGGTCACATAAACCTACAGTAGAAACACATGTAATGATCTCAAACAGCTCTGTTTGTTCTGAAGAGGAGAAAGTAGCAGCGTAAATGAGACCGCTTTGGTTTCTAAACTCCTGTGAGATCGCCATCATGTGGTTGGTTGTGGGATTACAACATTCTCCTCAAAACTCCGCAAGGAGTATAAATTAAATTGTGCTTGCGGAGGTCCACCGCAACCGCTAACGTAAGCAGCGCGTATACACTAGGCTTCCAAAGGAAGAGGAGGAGGGTCAGGCTGCAGACGCAGCAGATGCAGCAGACGCAGCAGATGCAGCAGACGCAGCAGACGCAGCAGAGGCCGCAGACGCCGCAGACGCAGCAGATGCAGCAGAGGCCGCAGAGGCCGCAGACGCCGCAGATGCAGCAGACGCAGCACACGCCACAGACGCAGCAGACGCAGCAGATGCCACAGACGCCGCAGACGCCACACGCCACAGACGCAGCAGACGCCGCAGACGCAGCAGATGCCACAGACGCCGCAGACGCCACACGCCACAGACGCAGCAGACGCAGCAGATGCCACAGACGCCGCAGACGCTACACGCCACAGACGCTGATATGAACAGAAAGGACCAGGTCCTTCTACAAATGCAAAAACCATGTAGTTCTACCGCCCGCCAGTAGGGGGCAGAGGAACTTTACACCACGACACATACATGACTACCTGTATGCCTACATGTAGGCCTACATGTATGCTTACCTGTATGCATACATGTAGGCAGCAACCCTAACCCTAACCCTAACCCCAGACGCTACACGCAGCAGACGCCACACGCCGCAGACGCCACCTACCTGTATGCCTACATGTAGGCCTACATGTATGCTTACCTGTATGCATACATGTAGGCAGCAACCCTAACCCTAACCCTAACCCCAGACGCTACACGCAGCAGACGCCACACGCCGCAGACGCCACCTACCTGTATGCCTACATGTAGGCCTACATGTATGCTTACCTGTATGCATACATGTAGGCAGCAACCCTAACCCTAACCCTAACCCCAGACGCTACACGCAGCAGACGCCACACGCCGCAGACGCCACCTACCTGTATGCCTACATGTAGGCCTACATGTATGCTTACCTGTATGCATACATGTAGGCAGCAACCCTAACCCTAACCCCAGACGCTACACGCAGCAGACGCCACACGCCGCAGACGCCACCTACATGTAGGCCTACATGTATGCCTATATTTATCATTGATGTAGGTTTGTATGTCCGTGGCTGTAATGGCTGTAGCACATACGTGTACCTGTGATAATGGCTGTAGCACATACGTGTACCTGTGATAATGGCTGTAGCACATACATGTACCTGTGATAATGGCTGTAGCACATACATGTACCTGTGATAATGGCTGTAGCTCATGTGTACCTGAGACAGTGTGTGTATACTGAGACAGTATGTATACTGAGACAGTATGTATACGGAGACAGAGTATGTATACGGAGACAGAGTATGTATACTGAGACAGTGTATGTATACGGAGACAGAGTATGTATACGGAGACAGAGTATGTATACTGAGACAGAGTATGTATACGGAGACAGAGTATGTATACTGAGACAGTATGTATACTGAGACAGTGTATGTATACTGAGACAGTATGTATACGGAGACAGAGTATGTATACGGAGACAGAGTATGTATACTGAGACAGTGTATGTATACTGAGACAGTATGTATACTGAGACAGTGTATGTATACTGAGACAGTGTATGTATACTGAGACAGAGTATGTATACTGAGACAGTGTATGTATACTGAGACAGAGTATGTATACTGAGACAGTGTATGTATACTGAGACAGTGTATGTATACTGAGACAGAGTATGTATACGGAGACAGAGTATGTATACTGAGACAGAGTATGTATACGGAGACAGAGTATGTATACTGAGACAGTGTATGTATACTGAGACAGTGTATGTATACTGAGACAGTATGTATACGGAGACAGAGTATGTATACGGAGACAGAGTATGTATACTGAGACAGTGTATGTATACTGAGACAGTATGTATACTGAGACAGTGTATGTATACTGAGACAGTGTGTATACTGAGACAGTATGTATACTGAGACAGTATGTATACTGAGACAGTGTATGTATACTGAGACAGTGTATGTATACTGAGACAGTGTGTATACTGAGACAGTGTGTATACTGAGACAGTGTGTATACTGAGACAGTATGTATACTGAGACAGTGTGTATACTGAGACAGTATGTATACTGAGACAGTGTGTATACTGAGACAGTGTATGTATACTGAGACAGTATGTATACGGAGACAGAGTATGTATACTGAGACACAGTATGTATACGGAGACAGAGTATGTATACTGAGACAGTGTGTATACTGAGACAGTGTGTATACTGAGACAGTATGTATACTGAGACAGTGTGTATACTGAGACAGTGTATGTATACTGAGACAGTATGTATACTGAGACAGTATGTATACTGAGACAGTGTATGTATACTGAGACACAGTATGTATACTGAGACACAGTATGTATACTGAGACAGAGTATGTATACTGAGACACAGTATGTATACTGAGACACAGTATGTATACTGAGACACAGTATGTATACTGAGACACAGTATGTATACTGAGACACAGTATGTATACCGAGACATGTATATTGAGTTTGTGGGGGAGGGGCGCTCTGAGATAACCAGCTCAGAGGGGAGGGGGGAGGGAGAGGGGGAGGGGGGAGTGCCAGAGACAGTTTCAGAGAGAATGACACAAAACCGGATTGTTGAGAGTTAAGAACTACTGGCAGACTGAACAGCTCCTGAGGCCGAGGGGGAGGGAGAGAGAGGAAGGGTTAGAGAGAGACCAGAGAGAGAGAGACCAGAGAGAGAGAGATCAGAGAGAGAGAGAGACCAGAGAGAGAGAGATCAGAGAGAGAGAGAGACCAGAGAGAGAGACAGAGAGAGACCAGAGAGAGACCAGAGAGAGAGACCAGAGAGAGAGACCAGAGAGAGACCAGAGAGAGAGACCAGAGAGAGAGACCAGAGAGAGAGACCAGAGAGAGACCAGAGAGAGACCAGAGAGAGAGACCAGAGAGAGAGACCAGAGAGAGACCAGAGAGAGAGACCAGAGAGAAGAGACCAGAGAGAGACCAGAGAGAGACCAGAGAGAGACCAGAGAGAGACCAGAGAGAGACCAGAGAGAGAGACCAGAGAGAGACCAGAGAGAGAGACCAGAGAGAGACCAGAGAGAGACCAGAGAGAGACCAGAGAGAGACCAGAGAGAGACCAGAGTGAAGACCAGAGAGAGACCAGAGTGAGAGACCAGAGAGAGACCAGAGAGAGAGAGACCAGAGAGAGAGAGAGACCAGAGAGAGAGACCAGAGAGAGACCAGAGAGAGACCAGAGAGAGAGACCAGAGAGAGAGACCAGAGAGAGAGACCAGAGAGAGACCAGAGAGAGACCAGAGAGAGACCAGAGAGAGACCAGAGAGAGAGACCAGAGAGAGAGACCAGAGAGAGACCAGAGAGAGACCAGAGAGAGACCAGAGAGAGACCAGAGAGAGACCAGAGTGAGAGACCAGAGAGAGACCAGAGAGAGAGAGACCAGAGAGAGAGAGAGACCAGAGAGAGAGACCAGAGAGAGAGACCAGAGAGAGACCAGAGAGAGAGACCAGAGAGAGACCAGAGAGAGAGACCAGAGAGAGAGACCAGAGAGAGACCAGAGAGAGACCAGAGAGAGAGACCAGAGAGAGACCAGAGAGAGAGACCAGAGAGAGACCAGAGAGAGAGACCAGAGAGAGACCAGAGAGAGACCAGAGAGAGACCAGAGAGAGAGACCAGAGAGAGAGAGAGACCAGAGAGAGAGACCAGAGAGAGACCAGAGAGAGACCAGAGAGAGACCAGAGAGAGAGACCAGAGAGAGAGAGAGACCAGAGAGAGAGACCAGAGAGAGACCAGAGAGAGAGATCAGAGAGAGAGAGAGACCAGAGAGAGAGAGATCAGAGAGAGAGAGAGACCAGAGAGAGAGACCAGAGAGAGACCAGAGAGAGACCAGAGAGAGACCAGAGAGAGACCAGAGAGAGACCAGAGAGAGAGACCAGAGAGAGAGACCAGAGAGAGACCAGAGAGAGACCAGAGAGAGAGACCAGAGAGAGACCAGAGAGAGACCAGAGAGAGAGACCAGAGAGAGACCAGAGAGAGAGACCAGAGAGAGACCAGAGAGAGACCAGAGAGAGACCAGAGAGAGACCAGAGAGAGACCAGAGAGAGAGACCAGAGAGAGACCAGAGAGAGACCAGAGAGAGACCAGAGAGAGACCAGAGAGAGAGACCAGAGAGAGACCAGAGAGAGACCAGAGAGAGAGACCAGAGAGAGAGACCAGAGAGAGAGACCAGAGAGAGAGACCAGAGAGAGAGACCAGAGAGAGAGACCAGAGAGAGAGACCAGAGAGAGAGACCAGAGAGAGACCAGAGAGAGAGACCAGAGAGAGAGACCAGAGAGAGACCAGAGAGAGACCAGAGAGGGGTAGATTGTGATTCACATATATTGTCGTTTCTTCCTCGTGTTTTGCCGACGCCCTGAGGCAGATCGATCCCTTTCGTATAAATAGAAGGAGGGTGTTCTCAGCGATCAGCAGCATTTTCCGACACCATACCAACAGTTCAAAGCAAAGCACAGAAGAACTTACTGTTGCTGCTTCCGCCGTCCCGGAGAGCGCATACCCGCTCTCAGCGCGGATCCAGGGCCTGTCTCGTGACTGCAGACATGCTGTCTCCCTCACGGTGTCTCCCCCCACGGTGTCTCCCCCCACGGTGTGCAGTCTCCCCCCTCAGTGCGGTTGTGTTTGTGGAGTTTGGTGTGTGATGGTGGGACCCCGAGCTGACGTGGAGGCGTGAGTGACTAGAGGGGGCGGGGGGAGGGGGAGGACGTCCGGGGGGGCGTCAGAGGGAGGGGGGCGGGGGGAGGACGTCAGGGGGGAGGGACGCGGGGGGAGGACGTCCGGGGGGGCGTCAGAGGGAGGGGGGCGGGGGGAGGACGTCAGGGGGAGGGACGCGGGGGGAGGGGAGGGGGGGGGGACGCGGGGGGAGGACGTCCGGGGGGGCGTCAGAGGGAGGGGGGCGGGGGGAGGACGTCAGGGGGAGGGACGCGGGGGGAGGGACGCGGGGGGAGGACGTCCGGGGGGGCGTCAGAGGGAGGGGCGCGGGGGGGTCTTCGGTTGACAAACAGCGATCAGATTTCAAACCTCTGACTCAGCACACCCTGGATAGAGAGCTGCTGGTAGTTAACTACTGTTATGGACGTTGGACTCTGGTTTAATGTTTCCTGTAGAATAAATCAGTGATCTGCAAAAACCCTAACGACCTCTCTCTCTGGTCTCTCTCTGGTCTCTCTCTGGTCTCTCTCTGGTCTCTCTCTGGTCTCTCTCTGGTCTCTCTCTGGTCTCTCTCTGGTCTCTCTCTGGTCTCTCTCTGGTCTCTCTCTGGTCTCTCTCTGGTCTCTCTCTGGTCTCTCTGGTCTCTCTCTGGTCTCTCTGGTCTCTCTCTGGTCTCTCTCTCTGGTCTCTCTCTGGTCTCTCTCTGGTCTCTCTCTGGTCTCTCTCTGTCTCTCTGGTCTCTCTCTGGTCTCTCTGGTCTCTCTCTGGTCTCTCTGGTCCCTCTCTGGTCCACATTGTCCACTCATGGTCATAACCCAGACATAACTGATCATCATGTACCTCTTGCTCTATGGTTAGGGTCACATGGTACCTGTACACATGGTTAGACAGGTGCACATGTTACTGGTACCACCTACTCTGTGTAAATATGTGATATGGCGCCCTCTGCTGGACACAAACACTTTATAACCAGCAAAATTGGTGACTTTATGAACACAGAGAGAATTGGTAAAATAAATAATACTTGTATTAATAACATGGTCCTCAGAGGTCACATGGTCCTCAGGTCACATGGTCCTCAGAGGTCACATGGTGCAGAGAAAGTGCACAGTTGTCGTTCTTTAGTTGGATTTTTATTGTACTGCATTAAACCCATGTCTCTGGTTCTACAGCCTCTAGTATTTGTGACACTGGGTCCACAGCCTCGGTCCTGGGTCCACAGCCTCGGTCCTGGGTCCACAGCCTCGGTCCTGGGTCCACAGCCTCGGTCCTGGGTCCACAGCCTCGGTCCTGGGTCCACAGCCTCGGTCCTGGGTGCCTCGGTCTTCATCTGTGAAGTCCTTGGAGAAACTACTCCAGTGATTTAGGGCGATACAAAATGAACGCTTCTACACGAGTCTGATACAACATCAAAAACACCTTCAATTAAAACGCTTTAATCATTACGTCATAAATACATTTCACAGAGTTCATGCTGTGCTTAGCTAGGGCCAAGGCAGGCAGAGGCAGGCCGAGGCAGGCCGGGCCAAGGTAAGCAGAGGCGGGCCATCACACTGACAGGTTGGACTGATGTCTGCAGCTAACACAGAGTTAGCTCTGCAGCTAACGCAGAGTTAGCTCTGCAGCTAACGCAGAGTTAGCTGCAGAGCTAACTCTGCGGCTTTATGTTTAGGCTCTGTGAGATTTCATAACACTTTTAAGCAACTTTTGTTAAAGTTAAACTCATAATTCTATCAATGTGCAGAAGCCAGTACTTTTCCCTTGTTGTGTCTATCTGAAGGCCAAGCTACATGGCACCGTGGCAGCTGCTGATTGGAGGTCTCCATGCCAACGCTCTGTATAATACACTTGCATTCTGTTGTTCGTGTTGTTCGTGCTGTCTCTACCATCGACAATAAAACATGTCTTCTGTCGGAATTAAAGACGCGATCCCAGACTATGTCATCTTCTTCAGCTCTTTGTGGCTGATCTGCCCACAGCCTGATGCTGCCCCCTGTCTGACCCTGGGGACAGCTCTGCTCTTTCATATCAACGACTGTAAAACGGTTTATAAAAAATTCAACATGATTTTATTAGATTTTCGACCCGCCCCCAGCCCCGGCTCCGCCCCCAGCCCGGGCTCCGCCCCCAGCCCCGGCTCCGCCCCCAGCCCGGGTCCTGGCAGTGGGTGCAGAGACTAAAGTCCAAATCAAATGTATTCAGATTTAAAACCTTAAAGTAACTCATTATTAGTCTGTGGATCAAACAGACATTGTCCAATACAGCGGCACCTGATTGGACGCAGCCAGACGGAATCAGACCAATCAGGTGCCGGCGTGTGGATGAACACCGGATTCTCTTTACAGAGACATGTGACATCACCAGGGCTCACTGTAAACAGACAAAAACAATGGACTTTTCCAACGTCCTCATTAAACATTTAAATAAATAACTCAAAGCTACAGACTATCAACTGCACATGGTACCTGTACACATGGTACCTACATATAGTACCTGTATGGTACTTGTACACATGGTACCTACATATAGTACCTGTACACACAGTACCTGCACACACGGTATCTGTACACACGGTACCTGTACACATGGTACTTACATATAGTACCTGTACACACGTTACCTGTACACATGGTACCTGTACACACAGTACCTGTACACATGGTACCTCAACACATGATACCATATCTGTGTACATGGTACCTATGCACGTGGTACCTGCACCTGAATAGTAGTACACGTACACATGGTACCAGTACACCTGGTACCTGTATATGGTACCTACATATAGTACCTGGACACATGGTACCTGTATATAGTACCTGCACATGGTAATTGCACACATGGTCCCTGCACATATGAACCGTCATGTAACCCATACATGGTTGACTTCCTGCTCTGGTTTATGGCTGTGGTTTCTGTAAACATGTTTAGGCAGAAAAAGAGATGTCCTGGAGAGTCCTGGGGGGGGTCCTGGGAGGGTCCTGGAGGGTCCTGGGGGGGGTCCTGGAGGGTCCTGGAGGGTCCTGGGTGGGGGTCCTGGAGAGTCCTGGGGGGGGTCCTGGGAGGGTCCTGGAGGGTCCTGGGGGGGGTCCTGGGAGGGTCCTGGAGGGTCCTGGGGGGGGTCCTGGGAGGGTCCTGGGAGGGTCCTGGGGGGGGTCCTGGGAGGGTCCTGGAGGGTCCTGGAGGGTCCTGGGGGGGGTCCTGGGAGGGTCCTGGGGGGGGTCCTGGGAGGGTCCTGGGGGGGGTCCTGGAGGGTCCTGGGGGGGGTCCTGGGAGGGTCCTGGAGGGTCCTGGGGGGGGTCCTGGGAGGGTCCTGGGGGGGGTCCTGGAGGGTCCTGGGGGGGGTCCTGGAGGGTCCTGGAGGGTCCTGGGGGGTCCTGGAGGGGGGGGTCCTGGAGGGTCCTGGAGGGTCCTGGAGGGTCCAGGGGGGGGGGGGGGTCCTGGAGGGTCCAGGGGGGGGTCCTGGGAGGGTCCTGGAGGGTCCTGGGGGGGGGTCCTGGGAGGGTCCTGGGGGGTCCTGGAGGGTCCTGGGGGGGGTCCTGGAGGGTCCTGGGGGGGGTCCTGGAGGGTCCGGGGGGGTCCTGGGAGGGTCCTGGAGGGTCCTGGGGGTCCTGGAGGGTCCTGGGGGGTCCTGGGGGGGGTCCTGGAGGGTCCTGGGGGGGTCCTGGGAGGGTCCTGGAGGGTCCTGGGGGGGGTCCTGGGAGGGTCCTGGAGGGTCCTGGAAGTCCTGGGGGGGTCCTGGGAGGGTCCTGGAGGGTCCTGGGGGGTCCTGGGGGTCTGGAGGTCCTGGGAGAGTCCTGGGGGTCCTGGGAGGGTCCTGGAGGGTCCTGGGGGGTCCTAGGTCTGGAGGGTCCTGGGGGGTCCTGGGGGGTCCTGGGGTCCTGGGGGTCCTGGGGGTCGGGGTCCTGGGAGAGTCCTGGGAGAGTCCTGGGAGGGTCCTGGGGGGGAGGGTCCGGGTCCTGGAGGGTCCTGGAGAGTCCTGGGAGAGTCCTGGGAGGGTCCTGGGAGTCCTGGAGGGTCCTGGGAGAGTCCTGGGAGGGTCCTGGGGAGTCCTGGAGGGTCCTGGAGAGTCCTGGGAGAGTCCTGGGAGGGTCCTGGAGACTCCTGGAGGGTCCTGGGGAGTCCTGGAGGGTCCTGGGGAGTCCTGGGAGAGTCCTGGGAGAGTCCTGGGAGAGTCCTGGGAGGGTCCTGGGGAGTCCTGGAGGGTCCTGGGGAGTCCTGGAGGGTCCTGGAGAGTCCTGGGAGAGTCCTGGGAGGGTCCTGGGGAGTCCTGGAGGGTCCTGGGAGAGTCCTGGGAGGGTCCTGGGAGGGTCCTGGGGAGTCCTGGAGGGTCCTGGAGAGTCCTGGGAGAGTCCTGGAGGGTCCTGGGGAGTCCTGGAGGGTCCTGGGAGAGTCCTGGGAGGGTCCTGGGGGGGTCCTGGGGAGTCCTGGAGGGTCCTGGGAGAGTCCTGGGAGGGTCCTGGGGAGTCCTGGAGGGTCCTGGGAGAGTCCTGGGAGGGTCCTGGGAGGGTCCTGGGGAGTCCTGGAGGGTCCTGGAGAGTCCTGGGAGAGTCCTGGAGGGTCCTGGGGAGTCCTGGAGGGTCCTGGGAGAGTCCTGGGAGGGTCCTGGGGGGTCCTGGGGAGTCCTGGAGGGTCCTGGGAGAGTCCTGGAGGGTCCTGGGGAGTCCTGGAGGGTCCTGGAGAGTCCTGGGAGAGTCCTGGAGGGTCCTGGGGAGTCCTGGAGGGTCCTGGGAGAGTCCTGGGAGGGTCCTGGGGGGGTCCTGGGGAGTCCTGGAGGGTCCTGGGAGAGTCCTGGGAGGGTCCTGGGGAGTCCTGGAGAGTCCTGGGAGAGTCCTGGGAGGGTCCTGGAGACTCCTGGAGAGTCCTGGGGGGGGGGGTCCTCTCAGCTCCTCTGCAGATAGGCCGACAGCAGCAGTGATGGGGGTAAGAAGCTGTTGTGTTTGTTCACCACCTCAGTCTGACGAGAGCCCTTTGAGTCAGTACCTGAGAAGACACACAGGTACTGACACACAGGTACAGACTGAGAGACAGGTACTGACACACAGGTACAGACTGAGAGACAGGTACTGACACACAGGTACACACACACACACACAGGTACAGACTGAGAGACAGGTACTGACACACAGGTACACACACACAGGTACAGACTGAGAGACAGGTACTGACACACAGGTACACACACACAGGTACAGACTGAGAGACAGGTACTGACACACAGGTACAGACTGAGAGACAGGTACTGACACACAGGTACAGACTGAGAGACAGGTACTGACACACAGGTACTGACTGAGAGACAGGTACTGACACACAGGTACAGACTGAGAGACAGGTACTGACACACAGGTACAGACTGAGAGACAGGTACTGACACACAGGTACACACACACACACACACAGGTACAGACTGAGAGACAGGTACTGACACACAGGTACTGACTGAGAGACAGGTACTGACACACAGGTAGACACACAGGTACTGACACACAGGTACAGACTGAGAGACAGGTACTGACACACAGGTACTGACTGAGACAGAGGTACTGACACACAGGTACAGACTGAGACAGAGGTACTGACACACAGGTACAGACTGAGAGACAGGTACTGACACACAGGTACTGACTGAGACAGAGGTACTGACACACAGGTACACACACACACAGGTACAGACTGAGAGACAGGTACTGACTGAGAGACAGGTACTGACACACAGGTAGACACACAGGTACTGACACACAGGTACAGACTGAGAGACAGGTACTGACACACAGGTACTGACTGAGACAGAGGTACTGACACACAGGTACAGACTGAGACAGAGGTACTGACACACAGGTACAGACTGAGAGACAGGTACTGACACACAGGTACTGACTGAGACAGAGGTACTGACACACAGGTACAGACTGAGAGACAGGTACTGACTGAGACAGAGGTACTGACACACAGGTACACACACACACACACACAGGTACAGACTGAGAGACAGGTACTGACTGAGAGACAGGTACTGACACACAGGTAGACACACAGGTACTGACACACAGGTACAGACTGAGAGACAGGTACTGACACACAGGTACTGACTGAGACAGAGGTACTGACACACAGGTACAGACTGAGACAGAGGTACTGACACACAGGTACAGACTGAGAGACAGGTACTGACACACAGGTACTGACTGAGACAGAGGTACTGACACACAGGTACAGACTGAGAGACAGGTACTGACACACAGGTACTGACTGAGACAGAGGTACTGACACACAGGTACAGACTGAGAGACGAGCACAGATACACAGGTACAGACTGAGGGACAGGTACAGACACACAGGTACTACTGACACACAGGTACAGAAGTACATGTTTTTACTTCTTTCTGCTCCTTTTCATTCATAGTAAATGCTGTTGTTGCATTTGTTTTTAAATGAATGAGATAAATAAATGAAAAAATTATGAAAACACAGGTACAGACACACAGGTGAGGACACACAGGTACAGACACACAGGTACACACACACAGGTGAGGACACACAAGTACAGACACACAGGTGAGGACACACAGGTACACACACACAGGTACACACACACACACACACAGGTACTGACACACAGGTGAGGACACACAGGTACACACACACACACACAGGTACTGACACACAGGTGAGGACACACAGGTACAGACACACAGGTGAGGACACAAAGGTACAGACACACAGGTGAGGACACACACACAGGTACTGACACACAGGTGAGGACACACAGGTACAGACACACAGGTACTCACACACAGGTACTGACACACAGGTGAGGACACACAGGTACAGACACACAGGTACTCACACACAGGTGAGGACACACAGGTACACACACACAGGTGAGGACACAAAGGTACAGACACACAGGTGAGGACACACAGGTACAGACACACAGGTGAGGACACACAGGTACTGACACATAGGTGAGGACACACAGGTACAGACACACAGGTACTGACACACAGGTGAGGACCCACAGGTACTCACACACAGGTACTGACACACAGGTGAGGACACACAGGTACTGACACACAGGTACTCACACACAGGTGAGGACACACAGGTACAGACACACAGGTACTCACACACAGGTGAGGACACACAGGTACTGACACACAGGTGAGGACACACAGGTACTGACACACAGGTGAGGACACACAGGTACACACACACACACAGGTACTGACACACAGGTGAGGACACACAGGTACAGACACACAGGTGAGGACACACACACAGGTACTGACACACAGGTGAGGACACACAGGTACAGACACACAGGTACTCACACACAGGTGAGGACACACACACAGGTACTGACACACAGGTGAGGACACACAGGTACAGACACACAGGTACTCACACACAGGTGAGGACACACAGGTACACACACACAGGTGAGGACACAAAGGTACAGACACACAGGTGAGGACACACAGGTACAGACACACAGGTACACACACACAGGTGAGGACACACAGGTACTCACACACAGGTACTGACACACAGGTGAGGACACACAGGTACTGACACACAGGTACTCACACACAGGTGAGGACACACAGGTACTCACACACAGGTACTGACACACAGGTGAGGACACACAGGTACAGACACACAGGTACTGACACACAGGTGAGGACACACAGGTACTCACACACAGGTACTGACACACAGGTGAGGACACACAGGTACTGACACACAGGTACTCACACACAGGTGAGGACACACAGGTACTCACACACAGGTACTGACACACAGGTGAGGACACACAGGTACTGACACACAGGTACTCACACACAGGTGAGGACACACAGGTACTCACACACAGGTGAGGACACACAGGTACTCACACACAGGTACTGACACACAGGTGAGGACACACAGGTACAGACACACAGGTACTGACACACAGGTGAGGACTCACAGGTACTCACACACAGGTACTGACACACAGGTACTGACACACAGGTGAGGACACACAGGTACTGACACACAGGTACTCACACACAGGTGAGGACACACAGGTACTCACACACAGGTACTGACACACAGGTGAGGACACACAGGTACAGACACACAGGTACTGACACACAGGTGAGGACACACAGGTACTCACACACAGGTACTGACACACAGGTGAGGACACACAGGTACTGACACACAGGTACTCACACACAGGTGAGGACACACAGGTACAGACACACAGGTACTCACACACAGGTGAGGACACACAGGTACAGACACACAGGTACTCACACACAGGTGAGGACACACAGGTACTGACACACAGGTGAGGACACACAGGTACAGACACACAGGTACTCACACACAGGTGAGGACACACAGGTACAGACACACAGGTACTCACACACAGGTGAGGACACACAGGTACTGACACACAGGTGAGGACACACAGGTACTGACACACAGGTGAGGACACACAGGTACTCACACACACACAGGTACTGACACACAGGTGAGGACACACAGGTACTCACACACAGGTACAGACACACAGGTACTTACTGAGAGAGACCAAGTCCATGTACTGACACACAGCATGGAGCAGCAGCCTCTCGAAGCTTCAACACAAAAATACAAATATATGAGAAGGTCCTCCTGCCTCACCGCGGTCCTCCTGCCTCACCGAGGTCCTCCTACCTCACTGAGATCCTTCTCCCTCCTCCTCCCTCACTGAGGTCCTCCTCCCTCCTCCTCCCTCACTGAGGCCCTCCTCTCTCCCTGAGGCCCTCCTCTCTCCCTGAGGCCCTCCTCTCTCCCTGAGGCCCTCCTCTCTCCCTGAGGCCCTCCTCTCTCCCTGAGGTCCTCCTCTCTCCCTGAGGCCCTCCTCTCTCCCTGAGGTCCTCCTCTCTCCCTTAGGCCCTCCTCTCTCCCTGAGGCCCTCCTCTCTCCCTTAGGCCCTCCTCTCTCCCTGAGGCCCTCCTCTCTCCCTGAGGCCCTCCTCTCTCCCTGAGGTCCTCCTCTCTCCCTTAGGCCCTCCTCTCTCCCTGAGGCCCTCCTCTCTCCCTTAGGCCCTCCTCTCTCCCTGAGGCCCTCCTCTCTCCCTGAGGTCCTCCTCTCTCCCTTAGGCCCTCCTCTCTCCCTGAGGCCCTCCTCTCTCCCTGAGGCCCTCCTCTCTCCCTGAGGTCCTCCTCTCTCCCTTAGGCCCTCCTCTCTCCCTGAGGCCCTCCTCTCTCCCTGAGGCCCTCCTCTCTCCCTGAGGCCCTCCTCACCTGCTGGAGAGGCAGGTGATGAAGACAGAGGTTGGATCAGTGTTGAAGAAGCTGAGCAGGTTCTCCTCCAGCACCTCCACTGTCCCCTTCAGAAAAAACACATGAATGAATATATATAGATACACACACATATGTAAGTGTGTACATATGTGTGTGTAAGTGTGTATATACAGTGCCTTGCGAAAGTATTCGGCCCCCTTGAACCTTTCAACATTTCGCCACACTTCCTGCTTCAAACAAAAGATATAAAAAATACATTTTTTAACAAGAATCAACAAGTGGGACACAATCGTGAAGTGGAACGAAATTTATTGGATAATTTAAACTTTTTTAACATATAAAAAACTGGAAAGTGGGGCGTGCAATATTATTCGGCCCCTTGCGCTAATACTTTGTAGCGCCACCTTTTGCTGCAATTACAGCTGCAAGTCGCTTGGGGTATGTCTCTATCAGTTTTGCACATCGAGAGACTGGAATTCTTTCCCATTCTTCCTTGCAAAACAGCTGGAGCTCAGTGAGGTTGGATGGAGAGCGTTTGTGAACAGCAGTCTTCAGCTCTTTCCACAGATTCTGGATTGGATTCAGGTCTGGACTTTGACTTGGCCATTCTAACACCTGGATACGTCTATTTGTGAACCATTCCATTGTAGATTTGGCTTTATGTTTTGGATCATTGTCCTGTTGGAAGATAAATCTCCGTCCCAGTCTCAGGTCTTTTGCAGACTCCAACAGGTTTTCTTCCAGAATGGTCCTGTATTTGGCTCCATCCATCTTCCCATCAATTTTAGCCATCTTCCCTGTCCCTGCTGAAGAAAAGCAGGCCCAAAGCATGATGCTGCCACCACCATGTTTGACAGTGGGGATGGTGTGTTCAGGGTGATGAGCTGTGTTGCTTTTACGCCAAACATATCGTTTTGCATTGTGGCCAAAAAGTTTGATTTTGGTTTCATCTGACCAGAGCACCTTCTTCCACATGTTTGGTGTGTCTCCCAGGTGGCTTGTGGCAAACTTTAAACCAGACTTTTTATGGATATCTTTGAGAAATGGCTTTCTTCTTGCCACTCTTCCATAAAGGCCAGATTTGTGCAGTGCACGACTGATTGTTGTCCTATGGACAGACTCTCCCACCTCAGCTGTAGTTATCTGCAGTTCATCCAGAGTGATCATGGGCCTCTTGGCTGCATCTCTGATCAGTCTTCTCCTTGTTTGAGATGAAAGTTTGGAGGGACGGCCGGGTCTTGGTAGATTTGCAGTGGTCTGATACTCCTTCCATTTCAATATAATTGCTTGCACAGTGCTCCTTGAGATGTTTAAAGCTTGGGAAATCTTTTTGTATCCAAATCCGGCTATAAACTTCTCCACAACAGTATCTCGGACCTGCCTGGTGTGTTCCTTTGTCTTCATGGTTCTCTCTGTGCTTTAAACAGAACCCTGAGACTATCAAAGAGCAGGTGCATTTATACGGAGACTTGATTACACACAGGAGCATTCTATTTATCATCATCAGTCATTTAGGACAACATTGGATCATTCAAAGATCCTCACTGAACTTCTGGACTGAGTTTGCTGCACTGAAAGTAAAGGGGCCCAATAATATTGCACGCCCCACTTTTCAGTTTTTTATTTGTTAAAAAAGTTTAAATTATCCAATAAATTTCGTTCCACTTCACGATTGTGTCCTACTTGTTGTTTCATGAAAAAAAAATTACATTTTATATCTTTATGTTTGAAGCGTGTCGAAGGAGCAGCCATCTTCCCGTGGACCCACCACCTGCTGGAAGATCAGTGTGGGACTGGTGCTATGTGAATTGGGTGGCAGTTCTGATTGCCACCCCCCTGACCCAGAAATGGAAAATAAAGGGATGTAAATGAAATGAAATGTTTGAAGCCTGAAATGTGGCGAAATGTTGAAAGGTTCAAGGGAGCCGAATACTTTTGCAAGGCACTGTATGTAAGTGTGTACAAATGTATATGTATGTGTATATATATATATAGATACAGTGGGGCAAAAAAGTATTTAGTCAGCCACCAATTGTGAAAGTTCTCCCACTTAAAATAATGACAGACGTCTGTAATGTTTATCATAGGTTCACTTCAACTGTGAGAGACAGAATGTGTAACAAAAAAAAATGTATAGGATTTTTAAAGAATTTATTTGTAAATGATGGTGGAAAATAAGTATTTGGTCACTTCTGTGGCTCTCACAGACCTGTAACTTCTTCTTTAAGAAGCTCTTCTGTCCTCCACTCGTTACCTGTATTAATGGCACCTGTTTGAACTCATCTGTATAAAAGACACCTGTCCACAGCCTCAAACAGTCAGACTCCAAACTCCACTATGGCCAAGACCAAAGAGCTGTCCAAGGACACCAGGAAAAGAATTGTAGACCTGAGAGTGAATCTACAATAGGCAAGCAGCTTGGTGTAAACAAATCAACTGTGGGAGCAATTATCAGAAAATGGAAGACATACAAGACCACTGATAATCTCCCTCCATCTGGGGCTCCACGCAAGATCTCATCCCGTGGGGTCAAAATGATCATGAGAACGGTGATCAAAAATCCCAGAACCACACGGGGGGACCTGGTGAATGACCTGCAGAGAGCTGGGACCAAAGTAACAAAGGTTACCATCAGTAACACACTACGACAACAGGGAATCAAACCCTGCAGTGCCAGACGTGTCCCCCTGCTGAAGCCAGTGCATGTCCAGGCCCGTCTGAAGTTTGCCAGAGAGCACATGGATGATACAGCAGAGGATTGGGAGAATGTCATGTGGTCAGATGAAACCAAAGTACAACTGTTTGGTATAAACTCAACTCGTCGTGTTTGGAGGAAGAAGAATACTGAGTTGCATCCCAAGAACACCATACCTGCTGTGAAGCATGGGGGTGGAAACATCATGCTTTGGGGCTGTTTTTCTGCCAAGGGGACAGGACGACTGATCCGTGTTAAGGAAAGAATGAATGGGGCCATGTATCGTGAGATTTTGAGACAAAACCTCCTTCCATCAGTGAGAGCTTTGAAGATGAAACGTGGCTGGGTCTTCCAGCATGACAATGATCCCAAACACACCGCCCGGGCAACGAAGGAGTGGCTCCGTAAGAAGCATTTGAAAGTCCTGGAGTGGCCTCGCCAGTCTCCAGACCTCAACCCCATTGAACATCTGTGTTCACTGCTCTCGAGAAGATCTGCATGGAAGAATGGGCCAAAATACCAGCTACTGTGTGTGCAAACCTGGTAAAGACCTATAGTAATGGTTTGACCTGTTATTGCCAACAAAAGGTTATATTACAAAGTATTGAGTTGAATTTTTGTTATTGACCAAATACTTATTTTCCACCATAATTAACAAATACATTCTTTAAAAAGTGAGCCTATGATGAAAATTACAGACGTCTGTCATTATTTTAAGTGGGAGAACTTGCACAATCGGTGGCTGACTAAATACTTTTTTGCCCCACTGTATGTATATGTAAGCGTGTACATATGTATATGTAAGCGTGTACATATGTATATGTAAGCGTGTACATATGTACATGTATGTATGTACATATGTACACACATATACAGTACCTTGCGAAAGTATTCGGCCCCCTTGAACCTTTCAACATTTCGCCACATTTCAGGCTTCAAACATAAAAATATAAAATTTTAATATTTTGTCATGAATCAACAACAAGTGGGACACAATCGTGAAGTGGAACGACATTTATTGGATAATTTAAACTTTTTTAACAAATAAAAAACTGAAAAGTGGGGCGTGCAATATTATTGGGCCCCTTTACTTTCAGTGCAGCAAACTCAGTCCAGAAGTTCAGTGAGGATCTTTGAATGATCCAATGTTGTCCTAAATGACTGATGATGATAAATAGAATGCACCTGTGTGTAATCAAGTCTCCGTATAAATGCACCTGCTCTTTGATAGTCTCAGGGTTCTGTTTAAAGCACAGAGAGAACCATGAAGACAAAGGAACACACCAGGCAGGTCCGAGATACTGTTGTGGAGAAGTTTAAAGCCGGATTTGGATACAAAAAGATTTCCCAAGCTTTAAAGGCACACCGCGGACTTTGTGACCTAAAGAGTTGACACATATGAGTTATTTTATATGAATACTTGGGCCAATATACAGCGCTTGACACTTGCAATGCTCCGAGCGGGGCTGCCCTCTTGAAATACCGCCCATGTAAGTTTCGAGCAGACGGACCGTCTGCCACCAGGTCACGTGACTTGGAAGAAAGACTTGCTTTACGGCTACAGGCGCTGATATACTCATGGAGCTAAGGCTTTTGCTACTCATTTTTCACCTGCTCGACTCCTGGTCATGGCTGAGGCAAGGAAAAATTTTAAACCTTCGGAGGAGGCTAAAAAGAGGAAACGCGAAAGGGATCGTGCTGTAAGCTGCATGTCTGTATGAGCGCTGCTGTTCACCTGGTTCCTGGATGTCATCGACTGCAAAGATGTCATTCCACGCAGCACGAGCTAGACGCAGAACTCCCTCATCCAGGATATAGAAGTCCATGTGTGGTAGATTACTAATGCAGCGGTCTGGAGGCTGACCACAGCAGAGTCTCTCAATATCTGTAGGCATGTCTCTACAGTTTGAACACACACACCAGTGCATGCTGTCTGAATACACACTCAAAAGACACCGGCTGACTGTTTGTTGACTTTTGCGACAGTGCTGAGTTGCTTGTGGCCACTAGGGGCGCTAAACGTGAAAGTTGCAGGTCTAGCGCCCCTAGTGGCCAAGAGTTACACGGTGTGCCTTTAAACATCTCAAGGAGCACTGTGCAAGCAATTATATTGAAATGGAAGGAGTATCAGACCACTGCAAATCTACCAAGACCCGGCCGTCCCTCCAAACTTTCATCTCAAACAAGGAGAAGACTGATCAGAGATGCAGCCAAGAGGCCCATGATCACTCTGGATGAACTGCAGATAACTACAGCTGAGGTGGGAGAGTCTGTCCATAGGACAACAATCAGTCGTGCACTGCACAAATCTGGCCTTTATGGAAGAGTGGCAAGAAGAAAGCCATTTCTCAAAGATATCCATAAAAAGTCTGGTTTAAAGTTTGCCACAAGCCACCTGGGAGACACACCAAACATGTGGAAGAAGGTGCTCTGGTCAGATGAAACCAAAATCAAACTTTTTGGCCACAATGCAAAAGGATATGTTTGGCGTAAAAGCAACACAGCTCATCACCCTGAACACACCATCCCCACTGTCAAACATGGTGGTGGCAGCATCATGCTTTGGGCCTGCTTTTCTTCAGCAGGGACAGGGAAGATGGCTAAAATTGATGGGAAGATGGATGGAGCCAAATACAGGACCATTCTGGAAGAAAACCTGTTGGAGTCAGCAAAAGACCTGAGACTGGGACGGAGATTTATCTTCCAACAGGACAATGATCCAAAACATAAAGCCAAATCTACAATGGAATGGTTCAGAAATAGACGTATCCAGGTGTTAGAATGGCCAAGTCAAAGTCCAGACCTGAATCCAATCCAGAATCTGTGGAAAGAGCTGAAGACTGCTGTTCACAAACGCTCTTGATTCTTGACAAAAAATTTTAATTTTTATATATTTTTGTTTGAAGCCTGAAATGTGGCGAAATGTTCAAAGGTTCAATGGGGGCCGAATACTTTCGCAAGGCACTGCAACATGAGCTCTAACTTACTATAGGGACCTGTCTCTTTCGGAGCGTGGCTCTGAGTCTGCGGTCGATTCTCTGGAAGCAGTGATGAGGACTGAAGATCACTGTGAGGAGAGGAAGCACTTCAGACTCACAGACACAGGGTCACAGCTACAGGGTCACAGCTACAGGGTCACAGGGTCACAGCTACAGGGTCACAGCTACAGGGTCACAGACACAGGGTCACAGTCACAGGGTCACAGTCACAGGGTCACAGCCACAGGGTCACAGACACAGGGTCACAGACACAGGGTCACAGCTACAGGGTCACAGCTACAGGGTCACGGTCACAGCTACAGGGTCACAGCTACAGGGTCACAGACACAGGGTCACAGCTACAGGGTCACAGTCACAGGGTCACAGACACAGGGTCACAGTCACAGGGTCACAGCTACAGGGTCACAGTCACAGGGTCACAGCTACAGGGTCACAGCTACAGGGTCACAGTCACAGGGTCACAGCCACAGGGTCACAGACACAGGGTCACAGTCACAGGGTCACAGCTAAAGGGTCACAGCCACAGGGTCACAGACACAGGGTCACAGCCACAGGGTCACAGTCACAGGGTCACAGCCACAGGGTCACAGTCACAGGGTCACAGCTACAGGGTCACAGCCACAGGATCACAGACACAGGGTCACAGACACAGGGTCACAGCTACAGGGTCACAGCCACAGGGTCACAGCCACAGGGTCACAGCTACAGGGTCACAGCCACAGGGTCACAGCCACAGGGTCACAGCTACAGGGTCACAGCCACAGGGTCACAGTCACAGGGTCACAGCTACAGGGTCACAGCCACAGGGTCACAGCCACAGGGTCACAGACACAGGGTCACAGTCACAGGGTCACAGTCACAGGGTCACAGACACAGGGTCACAGTCACAGGGTCACAGCTACAGGGTCACAGCCACAGGGTCACAGCTACAGGGTCACAGCCACAGGGTCACAGCCACAGGGTCACAGCTACAGGGTCACAGCCACAGGGTCACAGTCACAGGGTCACAGCTACAGGGTCACAGCCACAGGGTCACAGTCACAGGGTCACAGCGTCACAGCTACAGGGTCACAGCCACAGGGTCACAGCCACAGGATCACAGACACAGGGTCACAGACACAGGATCACAGACACAGGGTCACAGCTACAGGGTCACAGCCACAGGGTCACAGCCACAGAGTCACAGCTACAGGGTCACAGCCACAGGGTCACAGTCACAGGGTCACAGCTACAGGGTCACAGCGCCACAGCTACAGGGTCACAGCCCCAGGGTCACAGCCACAGGATCACAGACACAGGGTCACAGACACAGGATCACAGACACAGGGTCACAGCCACAGGATCACAGACACAGGGTCACAGACACAGGGTCACAGACACAGGGTCACAGCTACAGGGTCACAGCTACAGGGTCACAGCCCCAGGGTCACAGCCACAGGATCACAGGCACAGGGTCACAGCTACAGGGTCACAGCCACAGGATCACAGACACAGGGTCACAGACACAGGATCACAGACACAGGGTCATAGCCACAGGATCACAGACACAGGGTCACAGACACAGGATCACAGACACAGGGTCACAGCCACAGGATCACAGACACAGGGTCACAGACACAGGGTCACAGACACAGGGTCACAGCTACAGGGTCACAGCTACAGGGTCACAGCCCCAGGGTCACAGCCACAGGATCACAGACACAGGGTCACAGCTACAGGGTCACAGCCCCAGGGTCACAGCCACAGGATCACAGACACAGGGTCACAGACACAGGATCACAGGGTCACAGACACAGCATCACAGCCACCGGGTCACAGCCACAGGGTTATGTGACATCACCATGTAGCTGGAGCCAATAGGAGTTGAGCCAAACTTCACCATGAGCACGTCCCTGTGCTAGCGTACAGTACACACCGTTCCTCTGGTCCCTCAGAGCTTCTCCTCCTCCTCCTCCTCTGCTCCTCCTCCTGGCCTCCTCCTGCTCCAACAGCTCAAGCAGCACCTCCTGCTCCTCCCCAGAGCAGCTCAAGAAGTCACTCCAAGGCTGCACACACACCACACAGGTCACACACACACACAGGACACACACACACACATCATAACTACAGTTGTGTATACAATCAGAACCTAAAAAACATCCTGTATAGAGCTCAAAAGGAGCAAGCAGAAGTAAGGAAATACTTATGAGTGCTTGCCCCTAATTGCAAAACCAAAGAGAAAACAACTACTGATTACATTTATAAACATGAACCATTCTGGTTAGAGTTAGCAAAGACATTCTATAGATACAATGTATACATACAATAATACATTGTTTGAACAATTTTGCAGTCTTTGCTGAAAATGTGTCTGTGCATACGCACAAACACACCTCATGCGTGCGTGTGCATGTGCATGTGCATGTGCGTGTGTTCAAGCGGAAAGCAACATAAAACAACAGGAATGCACACAAGAATTAAGGATACATACATACATACTGTACATACTTAAATACATACATACTGTACATACTTAGATACATACAGTGCCTTCCGAAAGTATTCGGCCCCCTTGAACCTTTCAACATTTCGCCACATTTCAGGCTTCAAACATAAAGATATAAAATTTAAATTTGTTGTCATGAATCAAAAACAAGTGGGACACAATTGTGAAGTGGAACGAAATTTATTGGATAATTTAAACTTTTTTAACAAATAAAAAACTGAAAAGTGGGGCGTGCAATATTATTGGGCCCCTTTACTTTCAGTGCAGCAAACTCAGTCCAGAAGTTCAGTGAGGATCTTTGAATGATCCAATGTTGTCCTAAATGACTGATGATGATAAATAGAATGCTCCTGTGTGTAATCAAGTCTCCGTATAAATGCACCTGCTCTTTGATAGTCTCAGGGTTCTGTTTAAAGCACAGAGAGAACCATGAAGACAAAGGAACACACCAGGCAGGTCCGAGATACTGTTGTGGAGAAGTTTAAAGCCGGATTTGGATACAAAAAGATTTCCCAAGCTTTAAACATCTCAAGGAGCACTGTGCAAGCAATTATATTGAAATGGAAGGAGTATCAGACCACTGCAAATCTACCAAGACCCGGCCGTCCCTCCAAACTTTCATCTCAAACAAGGAGAAGACTGATCAGAGATGCAGCCAAGAGGCCCATGATCACTCTGGATGAACTGCAGATAACTACAGCTGAGGTGGGAGAGTCTGTCCATAGGACAACAATCAGTCGTGCACTGCACAAATCTGGCCTTTATGGAAGAGTGGCAAGAAGAAAGCCATTTCTCAAAGATATCCATAAAAAGTCTGGTTTAAAGTTTGCCACAAGCCACCTGGGAGACACACCAAACATGTGGAAGAAGGTGCTCTGGTCAGATGAAACCAAAATCAAACTTTTTGGCCACAATGCAAAACGATATGTTTGGCGTAAAAGCAACACAGCTCATCACCCTGAACACACCATCCCCACTGTCAAACATGGTGGTGGCAGCATCATGCTTTGGGCCTGCTTTTCTTCAGCAGGGACAGGGAAGATGGCTAAAATTGATGGGAAGATGGATGGAGCCAAATACAGGACCATTCTGGAAGAAAACCTGTTGGAGTCTGCAAAAGACCTGAGACTGGGACGGAGATTTATCTTCCAACAGGACAATGATCCAAAACATAAAGCCAAATCTACAATGGAATGGTTCACAAATAGACGTATCCAGGTGTTAGAATGGCCAAGTCAAAGTCCAGACCTGAATCCAATCCAGAATCTGTGGAAAGAGCTGAAGACTGCTGTTCACAAACGCTCTCCATCCAACCTCACTGAGCTCCAGCTGTTTTGCAAGGAAGAATGGGCAAGAATTCCAGTCTCTCGATGTGCAAAACTGATAGAGACATACCCCAAGCGACTTGCAGCTGTAATTGCAGCAAAAGGTGGCGCTACAAAGTATTAGCGCAAGGGGGCCGAATAATATTGCACGCCCCACTTTTCAGTTTTTTATTTGTTAAAAAAGTTTAAATTATCCAATAAATTTCATTCCACTTCACGATTGTGTCCCACTTGTTGTTGATTCTTGACAAAAAAAATATTTTTCATATCATTATGTTTGAAGCTTGAAATGTGGCGAAAGGTTCAAGGGGGCCGAATACTTTCGCATGGCACTGTAGATACATACTTAGATACATACATACATACTTAGATACATGTATCAATCATACTTGCTGTGAACCCTCTGCATGTTTTTAAGGATGCTTAACTTATACAGTATTTTAAAGTTTAAAAGAGTTTTAGCAGTCTTCAGGTTCTCTTAAAGTTCATTCTACAAATCCACACCACGTCGTGTAATGAACATGCTCTTCAGGGATGTGCGAACACACTGTTTCTTGAAGTTAGTTTGCCCTCTCAGATTGTATTTACCATCTCTGTTTTGAAACATATTTAGAATATTGGTTGGAAGCAGTTTGGGTCTTACCTTGTACATTATTTGCAGTGTTCTAAACCTGATTAGATCATCAAATTTCAATAATTTAGATCTGAGAAACAGTGGGTTCGTATGATCCAAGGACCCAGCATTGTGGACAACTCTAACAGCTTTTTTTTGCATAATGAAAATGTCATTAAGATTAGTCTTATATGTATTTCCACATATCTCTACACAGAAGCTGATATAGGGCAAAACTAAAGTACAGTAGATGGCGAAAAGGGCCTTTTCATTGAGAAGGTGCTTTGATTTTCTCATTACTGAAATAGACTTGGCCATTTTATTTTTAACGTCGGTCAAATGGGGCTTCCAGCAGTTTATTGTCAAGAGTAACTCCAAGAAAATTATACTGTTCAACAAATTCAATGTTTTTGTCATTGATAGACATTCTAAGTTTGGTATCAATGTTTTTATTTCCAATAACCATACATTTTGGTTTTTTTAAGTTAAGCGATAATTTATTGAGATCAAACCATTCTTTGATTTTTTTCATTTCTGCGGATGTCTTAACCAATAACTGTTGCAGGTCGTTTCCCGAGGACAGAATTGTTGTGTCGTCTGCAAAAAGCACTAGTTTGAGTTTCCTGGAGATATAACACAGATCATTTATGTACAAAAGAAAAAGAATGGGTCCAAGCACTGACCCCTGAGGGACTCGACAAGTGATGTCCCTCAAGGATGGAGTTACACATGTCCATTTGGACAAACTGTTGCCTGTTTGACAGGTACGATTTGAGCCATTGTAATGGACAGCCCCGATACCTTTTGTTTCAAGTTTCTTAGCTAGGATAGTGTGATTAATCTTATCAAATGCTTTTTTTAAGTCAATGAAAGGAGTTTAGCCTCAGGGAAGGCTAAACTCCTCAGACTGTCAGTCAAGCTGCATAGGGAGCCCCCTGCTGGAGAAGTATGGTAACTTGAGCACTATCCTCTTCTCCTTCCTACTTTATCTGTTTAGATTTTTAGGATTTTGACAGTAGTTTGTTCATTGCTATTCACCCGTTGTCCCATTGTCTGTTTCATGGTACGATGACGGGATCTCTGAGCCTGGCCTCCTCCATCTACACCTGCGGACTGCCCCGCCCGACCCGCCTGGGAGTGCTTCAGTCCTGCACCTGTCCACGTTCAGCGGCCACTGGTCCACGTTCTGTAGCTAGCTTAGGTCCTAGATCATTAGCCTGTCCGTCCGGAGGAGCGGATCCCTTTCTCATATGGGTCTCCCTCCCTGTGGGTTTCCCTAGTTCTCCTCCAAGGTTTCTCACTTTTTCCCACTGGGTTTTTTAAGAGTTGTTCCTTGTGGATGCAGGAGGGTCTTGTTGGACAGTTAGTGTCCAACAGAAAGGATTGGTGATGATCAGGACACTTTAGCATTCTACAACATGTATGGACATTTTCTTCTGTGTGTGCTTTATATTCTTCATGTGTTTTAACTGTTGATTCTCTGACCTGTGTTGGTGATTTCAATGGTTTTGTTAAGTCTCTGAGATGACTTCTGTTGTGACCTAGGGCTATACAACAATACATTGTATTGTATTGTATTGTATTGTATTGTATTGAAAACTGCCAGAGAGTATTCGTTCTTTTCTATATTGTTGGTGACTTCCTCGACCAAGTCCATGAGTGCTGTTGCTGTAGAATGGTTTTCTCTGAAGCCACATTGGTTCTCAGGTAGCAGGCCATTTTTGTTTATGTAGCTGTTTAAGCGTTCAGCAAAAAGTTTTTCTACAATCTTAGATATCTGTGGTAAGAGAGAGATTGGTCTATAATTTTCAAAAGAGTGTATATCGCCAGTTTTGAAAATAGGTAGGACTTCAGCTATTCTCATTTTTAATGGGAATTTGGCGGTTACAAATGATAGATTACAAATATGCTTTATAGGTTTAACAATTTCATTTATAACTTGTTTAATTAAACTCATATCAAGACCGTCGCAATCTTGAGATTTTTTATTTTTGAATTTCCCCACAACCCGCAAAATCTCTCCCTCATCAACTGGGCTGAGGAAAAATGGGCTGGGAGTAGGATTTTCACAAATGACCACTTCATGGACTTTGGTAGTTGGGGCTATTGTTTTGGCTAGTTCAGGCCCTATTTCAACAAAAAAGGCATTAAAACCATCAACCACATCCTGTCTGTTAACTATGGTCTACTTTTTGTGAGTGAAGTAATCTGTAGAGCATTTCATTTTAGGCTTGATTCCCATTATTTCATTTAAAACTTTCCAGAAACCTTTTATGTTGGATTGTTTACTTTCAAGTAAGGTCCTATAATAATCTCGCTTACATTTTAATAATATGTAAGTTAATTTATTTTTATATTCTTTGTATCTTATTTCAGATTCATTGGTTTTCCTTTTAATAAATCTTTTGTAGAGTGTGTTCTTTTTTTTACAAGCATGTATCAAGCCCTTTGTCCTCCATGGTTCATGTATGTTTAATAAGCATGTATCAAGCCCTTTGTCATCCATGGTTCATGTATGTTTAATAAGCATGTATCAAGCCCTTTGTCATCCATGGTTCATGTATGTTTAATAAGCATGTATCAAGCCCTTTGTCATCCATGGTTCATGTATGTTTAATAAGCATGTATGCCCTTTGTCATCCATGGTTCATGTATGTTTAATAAGCATGTATCAAGCCCTCTGTCATCCATGTTCATGTATGTTTAATAAGCATGTATCAAGCCCTTTGTCATCCATGGTTCATGTATGTTTAATAAGCATGTATCAAGCCCTTTGTCATCCATGGTTCATGTATGTTTAATAAGCATGTATCAAGCCCTTTGTCATCCATGGTTCATGTATGTTTAATAAGCATGTATCAAGCCCTTTGTCATCCATGGTTCATGTATGTTTAATAAGCATGTATCAAGCCCTTTGTCCTCCATGGTTCTTTAATAAGCATGTATCAAGCCCTTTGTCATCCATGGTTCATGTATGTTTAATAAGCATGTATCAAGCCCTTTGTCATCCATTATGGTTCATGTATGTTTAATAAGCATGTATCAAGCCCTTTGTCATCCATGGTTCATGTATGTTTAATAAGCATGTATCATGCCCTTTGTCATCCATGGTTCATGTATGTTTAATAAGCATGTATCAAGCCCTTTGTCATCCATGGTTCATGTATGTTTAATAAGCATGTATCAAGCCCTTTGTCATCCATGGTTCATGTATGTTTAATAAGCATGTATCAAGCCCTTTGTCATCCATGGTTCATGTATGTTTAATAAGCATGTATCAAGCCCTTTGTCCTCCATGGTTCATGTATGTTTAATAAGCATGTATCAAGCCCTTTGTCATCCATGGTTCATGTATGTTTAATAAGCATGTATCAAGCCCTTTGTCATCCATGGTTCATGTATGTTTAATAAGCATGTATCAAGCCCTTTGTCATCCATGGTTCATGTATGTTTAATAAGCATGTATCAAGCCCTTTGTCATCCATGGTTCATGTATGTTTAATAAGCATGTATCAAGCCCTTTGTCATCCATGGTTCATGTATGTTTAATAAGCATGTATCAAGCCCTTTGTCATCCATGGTTCATGTATGTTTAATAAGCATGTATCAAGCCCTTTGTCATCCATGGTTCATGTATGTTTAATAAGCATGTATCAAGCCCTTTGTCATCCATGGTTCATGTATGTTTAATAAGCATGTATCAAGCCCTTTGTCATCCATGGTTCATGTATGTTTAATAAGCATGTATCAAGCCCTTTGTCATCCATGGTTCATGTATGTTTAATAAGCATGTATCAAGCCCTTTGTCATCCATGGTTCATGTATGTTTAATAAGCATGTATCAAGCCCTTTGTCATCCATGGTTCATGTATGTTTAATAAGCATGTATCAAGCCCTTTGTCATCCATGGTTCATGTATGTTTAATAAGCATGTATCAAGCCCTTTGTCATCCATGGTTCATGTATGTTTAATAAGCATGTATCAAGCCCTTTGTCATCCATGGTTCATGTATGTTTAATAAGCATGTATCAAGCCCTTTGTCATCCATGGTTCATGTATGTTTAATAAGCATGTATCAAGCCCTTTGTCATCCATGGTTCATGTATGTTTAATAAGCATGTATCAAGCCCTTTGTCATCCATGGTTCATGTATGTTTAATAAGCATGTATCAAGCCCTTTGTCATCCATGGTTCATGTATGTTTAATAAGCATGTATCAAGCCCTCTGTCATCCATGGTTCATGTATGTTTAATAAGCATGTATCAAGCCCTCTGTCATCCATGGTTCATGTATGTTTAATAAGCATGTATCAAGCCCTTTGTCATCCATGGTTCATGTATGTTTAATAAGCATGTATCAAGCCGGTGCGATGCAGATCTGTACATGATTTTAAAGCAGTCATAAAATTATTACAGAACATGTCCACATCATTTTCATTTAGGGTTGTCTCCTAATTTTGATTAAGATCTTGTTTGAGAGCATTAACGGTTTCATTAGTAATTTTCCTTCTAACCTTTGTTGAATACATGACGGTCGGGGGTTTTCGGTCTCCGACTTCAACAAACATAACAATTGGCAGGTGGTCTGTGATGTCATTTATTAGATTTCCAAATGCAGTTTTTGAATGAGTAATGGTCGCACTGTGTTGGTAATTCTTGTGTTTAACATCATACTGTACATTGTGTTCATAAAATGTTCAACTCTCCTTTATTCTTTTCTTTTCACCACATACAATTAGGTTTTTTCTACAGTTTCTGTAAATAAATCCATATTAGAATCAGGTGCTCTAGAGGTGCAGCTCACCTGTATATTCTTAGTTTTCCCCATTTCTATTTCAGCAGTGACATTTTCCATAATAGAATCTATTGCTACTGACATATTCATCATTTGTTTACTTTTGAGACTTTGATGAACAAAAAGAGCCACTCCACCACCATTTTCATGTTTCCTGTTTGTATTATAGCATACATAGTTGTCCAATATAAACCCTGTGTTAATTTTATCATGTAACCAGGTTTCAGAGAAGGCGATTATGTCGAATATCATGTTAAACTGTTGAAGATAGGTCCGAATATGCTCAAAGTTTGCATTTAGACTTCTACTGTTTATATGCAACAGAGATTTTATTTGTAATTTCCTGGTTAAGTTTGTCCATTTCCTCCAGATCTTCATAGTACTTGCAATTTGCCATTAAAGTATTAAGAAAATTGAAGTCAGGGTGAGTGTCCTGCAGCACGTTATGAGCGGAGTTCATTCATCCTCATCTTCAGAAGATGAAAAGTTAATGTCCAATCCCAAACTCAATGTCATTAAAAAAAGAAAAAAACAAACAAACAAGTAACTTAGGAGTGGGTTTAGATCTTATCATTTGTATTTTTCCAGTTCCAGTACATTTCTGATTGTAAGGACTTTTGCTTCCTCCGGGGACGATCCACTGAGCTTTATCATGATCTTGCAGTTCCTCGTCCATGTGTCTCTTATTTTCCTCTCTCTTTTCAAGATCCTTGCCTGCCATGCAATCTCTGATTTTATTCTTGTGAGATGCTCATTCCCAAACACAACAGTGCCCTTTAGGTTTTTACAACCTTTAGCAACTCAATTTTGGCTTTTCTGTTCACAAATTTAATGATAATATTAGGTTTATTTGCTTGTTTTTGGGGAAGTGTGTGACATGCAGCAATGTCTTTAGTGTCAAGAATGATATTTTTTCTACTGAAGAACTTAATTACTTGTTGCTCAAGTGTAAACAGTTCCCGTTGACACAGGCCTGTAGCTCACCTCCACATAGTTCCCGTTGACACAGGCCTGTAGCTCACCTCCACATAGTTCCCGTAGCTCACCTCCACATAGTTCCCGTTGACACAGGCCTGTAGCTCACCTCCACATAGTTCCCGTAGCTCACCTCCACATAGTTCCCGTTGACACAGGCCTCGGTGAAGACCGTGGGGAGCGCGGGAACACTGCCCACCTCCAGCTCATCACAGCACTCCTCTTTCTCCAGGAGGTTCGCCAGGAACCGGGCTGAAACACAACAGAGGGCACACTCTAGACTGAGGCAAGACCCAGAATCTAGACCAGGACCCCCCAGGATCCCCCAGGACCCCCAGACTCACAGTTCTCCTGGCGTCTCTGGCTCTTCTTGCCCTTGGCCCTCTGGATCAGCTCGGAGTTCCGGACGGCCTGGTTGATGTAGAACTGTTTCTTTTTGGGTGAGACGCGTCTGAGCGGAGAGCAGGGCAGGGACTGGGTCTGCCGCTCGGGAGGGAGGCTGGAACAGAGCTAAGACTTAAAAGGTGGTATTTATTTGTGTTAAATAAAACTCATTTTGGCAGATAGTTTCACCCTTAGCAGTTTCTATCAATAATAATATGCAAAAAGACATTCGCGGAAAAATTGCAGAGACTGGAAGTGACGTACACACAGGTGTCATTGGGCTTTGTTGATATGCATTTGTGCCATAACGTCGTATACGGACGTTTAAACAGATATTTGTCATTCACTGATGGACAATACAAGTCAGGGGCTTTTATTTATGAGCCCTTGGTACTTGTTATGACAGTCATTCTGATTTTGAGGACTCTGACTCGGTTCAGATGAGGAGCTATCTGCAAGAAATTGACATTTGCGGACATTAGAGCCGTTTCCACGGGCTGGAGTATGGATCTATGGTCCGACCGGGTTCGACCCGTCTCGACCCGGTTTGCAGATGCGGTCAGTTTGAGCTCCATGGTCCACCCGAGTGAGTGTAAATAGCGTAATAGTGTAAAAAGTGTTAGTGAAGGTAGCGCTAGGGACGAAGGAGTACATCAGGGACATCGCAGAGAAACATTTTGAAGCGTAAAAGTGACTACCGTGAAATGAAAGATCCCAGCCGTAAAAGTGACAGAACTGAAAAGTCTGGAGGTGGTTTGACCACATGGATAGACGCTATTTTTACGGACATCAGCAAACAAGCAAACATCAGCTAACAAGCTAACATCAGCTAACAAGCTAACAAGCTAACATCAGCTAACAAGCTAACACCAGCTAACAAGCTAACACCAGCTAACAAGCTAACACCAGCTAACAAGCAAACACCAGCTAACAAGCTAACACCAGCTAACAAGCTAACACCAGCTAACAAGCTAACATCAGCAAACAAGCTAACACCAGCTAACAAGCTAACACCAGCTAACAAGCTAACATCAGCTAACAAGCTAACACGAGCTAACAAGCTAACACCAGCTAACAAGCAAACATCAGCTAACAAGCAAACATCAGCTAACAAGCTAACACAGGCTAACAAGCTAACACCAGCTAACAACGGCACGGTGGCTGAGTGGATAGCACTCTCGCCTCTCAGCAAGAAGGTCCTTGGTTCGAATCCCGGCCGGACAAGGGCCTTTCTGAGTGGAGTTTGCATGTTCTCCCTGTGTCTGCGTAGGTTTCCTCCGGGTACTCCGGTTTCCCCTGCCACTAAAAATATGAACTGATACTGAACATGTGTCTGTGGTTCTAAAGTCTTATTCTAAACATGTGTCTGTGGTTCTAAAGTCTGATACTGAACATGTGTCTGTGGTTCTAAAGTCTGATACTGAACATGTGTCTGTGGTTCTAAAGTCTTATACTGAACATGTGTCTGTGGTTCTAAAGTCTTATACTGAACATGTGTCTGTGGTTCTAAAGTCTTATACTGAACATGTGTCTGTGGTTCTAAAGTCTTATTCTGAACATGTGTCTGTGGTTCTAAAGTCTTATATAAACATGTGTCTGTGGTTCTAAAGTCTTATTCTGAACATGTGTCTGTGGTTCTAAAGTCTTATTCTGAACATGTGTCTGTGGTTCTAAAGTCTTATTCTGAACATGTGTCTGTGGTTCTAAAGTCTTATTCTGAACATGTGTCTGTGGTTCTAAAGTCTTATTCTGAACATGTGTCTGTGGTTCTAAAGTCTTATACTGAACATGTGTCTGTGGTTCTAAAGTCTTATTCTGAACATGTGTCTGTGGTTCTAAAGTCTTATACTGAACGTGTGTCTGTGGTTCTAAAGTCTTATACTGAACATGTGTCTGTGGTTCTAAAGTCTTATTCTGAACATGTGTCTGTGGTTCTAAAGTCTTATTCTGAACATGTGTCTGTGGTTCTAAAGTCTTATACTGAACATGTGTCTGTGGTTCTAAAGTCTGATACTGAACATGTGTCTGTGGTTCTAAAGTCTTATACTGAACATGTGTCTGTGGTTCTAAAGTCTTATACTGAACATGTGTCTGTGGTTCTAAAGTCTTATTCTGAACATGTGTCTGTGGTTCTAAAGTCTTATACTGAACGTGTGTCTGTGGTTCTAAAGTCTGATACTGAACATGTGTCTGTGGTTCTAAAGTCTTATACTGAACATGTGTCTGTGGTTCTAAAGTCTTATTCTGAACATGTGTCTGTGGTTCTAAAGTCTTATTCTGAACATGTGTCTGTGGTTCTAAAGTCTTATACTGAACTGTGTCTGTGGTTCTAAAGTCTTATACTGAACATGTGTCTGTGGTTCTAAAGTCTTATTCTGAACATGTGTCTGTGGTTCTAAAGTCTTATTCTGAACATGTGTCTGTGGTTCTAAAGTCTTATTCTGAACATGTGTCTGTGGTTCTAAAGTCTTATACTGAACATGTGTCTGTGGTTCTAAAGTCTTATTCTGAACATGTGTCTGTGGTTCTAAAGTCTTATTCTGAACATGTGTCTGTGGTTCTAAAGTCTTATTCTGAACATGTGTCTGTGGTTCTAAAGTCTTATTCTGAACATGTGTCTGTGGTTCTAAAGTCTTATTCTGAACATGTGTCTGTGGTTCTAAAGTCTTATACTGAACATGTGTCTGTGGTTCTAAAGTCTTATTCTGAACATGTGTCTGTGGTTCTAAAGTCTTATTCTGAACATGTGTCTGTGGTTCTAAAGTCTTATTCTGAACATGTGTCTGTGGTTCTAAAGTCTTATTCTGAACATGTGTCTGTGGTTCTAAAGTCTTATACTGAACATGTGTCTGTGGTTCTAAAGTCTTATACTGAACATGTGTCTGTGGTTCTAAAGTCTTATTCTGAACATGTGTCTGTGGTTCTAAAGTCTGATACTGAACATGTGTCTGTGGTTCTAAAGTCTTATACTGAACATGTGTCTGTGGTTCTAAAGTCTTATACTGAACATGTGTCTGTGGTTCTAAAGTCTTATTCTGAACATGTGTCTGTGGTTCTAAAGTCTTATTCTGAACATGTGTCTGTGGTTCTAAAGTCTTATACTGAACATGTGTCTGTGGTTCTAAAGTCTTATTCTGAACATGTGTCTGTGGTTCTAAAGTCTTATACTGAACATGTGTCTGTGGTTCTAAAGTCTTATACTGAACATGTGTCTGTGGTTCTAAAGTCTTATACTGAACATGTGTCTGTGGTTCTAAAGTCTTATTCTGAACATGTGTCTGTGGTTCTAAAGTCTTATTCTGAACATGTGTCTGTGGTTCTAAAGTCTGATACTGAACATGTGTGTCTGTGGTTCTAAAGTCTTATTCTGAACATGTGTCTGTGGTTCTAAAGTCTTATTCTGAACATGTGTCTGTGGTTCTAAAGTCTTATTCTGAACATGTGTCTGTGGTTCTAAAGTCTTATTCTGAACATGTGTCTGTGGTTCTAAAGTCTTATTCTGAACATGTGTCTGTGGTTCTAAAGTCTGATACTGAACATGTGTCTGTGGTTCTAAAGTCTTATTCTGAACATGTGTCTGTGGTTCTAAAGTCTTATTCTGAACATGTGTCTGTGGTTCTAAAGTCTTATTCTGAACATGTGTCTGTGGTTCTAAAGTCTTATTCTGAACATGTGTCTGTGGTTCTAAAGTCTTATTCTGAACATGTGTCTGTGGTTCTAAAGTCTTATACTGAACATGTGTCTGTGGTTCTAAAGTCTTATTCTGAACATGTGTCTGTGGTTCTAAAGTCTTATTCTGAACATGTGTCTGTGGTTCTAAAGTCTTATACTGAACATGTGTCTGTGGTTCTAAAGTCTTATTCTGAACATGTGTCTGTGGTTCTAAAGTCTTATACTGAACATGTGTCTGTGGTTCTAAAGTCTTATACTGAACATGTGTCTGTGGTTCTAAAGTCTTATTCTGAACATGTGTCTGTGGTTCTAAAGTCTGATACTGAACATGTGTCTGTGGTTCTAAAGTCTTATTCTGAACATGTGTCTGTGGTTCTAAAGTCTTATTCTGAACATGTGTCTGTGGTTCTAAAGTCTTATTCTGAACATGTGTCTGTGGTTCTAAAGTCTTATTCTGAACATGTGTCTGTGGTTCTAAAGTCTTATTCTGAACATGTGTCTGTGGTTCTAAAGTCTTATACTGAACATGTGTCTGTGGTTCTAAAGTCTTATACTGAACATGTGTCTGTGGTTCTAAAGTCTGATACTGAACATGTGTCTGTGGTTCTAAAGTCTTATTCTGAACATGTGTCTGTGGTTCTAAAGTCTTATTCTGAACATGTGTCTGTGGTTCTAAAGTCTTATTCTGAACATGTGTCTGTGGTTCTAAAGTCTTATACTGAACATGTGTCTGTGGTTCTAAAGTCTTATACTGAACATGTGTCTGTGGTTCTAAAGTCTTATTCTGAACATGCGTCTGTGGTTCTAAAGTCTTATATAAACATGTGTCTGTGGTTCTAAAGTCTTACACTAAACGTGTGTCTGTGGTTCTATAGTCTTACATAAACATGTGTCTGTGGTTCTATAGTCTTACATAAACATGTGTCTGTGGTTCTAAAGTCTTATTCTGAACATGTGTCTGTGGTTCTAAAGTCTTATATAAACGTGTGTCTGTGGTTCTAAAGTCTTATATAAACGTGTGTCTGTGGTTCTAAAGTCTTATATAAACGTGTGTCTGTGGTTCTATAGTCTTATTCTGAACGTGTGTCTGTGGTTCTATAGTCTTACTAAACATGTGTCTGTGGTTCTAAAGTCTATAACATGATGGTCTGTGTCATATCTATATCTTTTACTAAACGTAGTTAGAGTGAAACATGGATTCATGGTTCAGTGTCAGGTGTTGTGTTTTCTGCTACTGGGTTGAAACTGGTTAAACTGGTTTTAGTTGGAGCTTGATAGAACTAATTTCCTGGACCTGGCGCTGGTGTCTTCTCTCAGTTTGTTTGGACCTTCTCTGAATAAGTCAAAGATCGTAGGGACTGCTGTTTACACTCTTCTTTTGTTACTTTCATTGCTGCATCCCGGGGCCGTACAAAATACACCCATTTTAAGGTTTATTTGTGTCAAAGCGGCAGCAGGAGCAATGCCATAAACAGTGAGGGAGAGCTGCGACCCCTCTAAGTACGTCATCATTTTTCTGGCCAATCAGAGGCGTTGATATTAAAAGGTTATTTTACTGATTTATTACTTATCTATAACACAAAAACACATTGCAAAGGTGGGAAATACATGCTTTTAATGTGTTTTATCAGAAGAAAAATAGTTTTTAATAACGTTAGTGCCCTTTTAATCTTTGAGATCTTTCTACAGAAATATAGAAGCGTCCACACTGACACCTAGTGGACACATGTAGTCATTGTTGCTTCTTAACTCATTCACCGCCATTGACGTCTATAGACGTCAATCGTGTTTTTCTTTCTATGGCTCGTCAAGGCTCTGGTGCACCCTGTGTCAACATTTCAGACCTGTAAACACTTTGGAACCGATCCTGTAGGGGGCAGAGGTGACACTGTGGCCAGATCCAGGGAGGGAGAAGGGGGCATGTGGTGCTGTGAGCGGGTAACAGCCAGAGGAGCAGCCATGCTTACACAGAGGATCGCGGATCTGAGAAGCTCACGCAGCTAACGCTGTTTGAGAGCCTGTTCAGTCATCAAACGGATAAATATGAAGCAGCTAGATGCCACGATGCTAGTTCTTCAGGTTTTAGTTAACCTCAGAGACTCCAGGATCCTCGGAGGCTTCTCCCTCCCTCCTCGTCCAGCAGCAGCGGCTCCTCCCCCCGTCGTCATGTGGTAAGTTGCTTTTCACTTCAACATGTTGCATTTACGAGTTTATTTCTCCTCTTTGTCTAATATACTATCAGCCCCTCCAGGATTTGCACGTAATTGCTGATTGATGAATGATTCCCTGTTGAGTTTGGAGGCGTGTGAGTCTGGCATGCAGCATTAGCTGCCATGGAGCTATGGATGATGTGAAGAAGATGACAAAGTCTGGGATCGCGTCTTTAATTCCGACAGAAGACATGTTTTATTGTCGATGGTAGAGACAGCACGAACAACACGAACAACAGAATGCAAGTGTATTATACAGAGCGGAGGCATGGAGACCTCCAATCAGCAGCTGCCACAGTGCCATGTAGCTTGGCCTTCAGATAGACACAACAAGGGAAAAGTACTGGCTTCTGCACATTGATAGAATGATGAGTTTAACTTTAACAAAAGTTGTTTAAAAGTGTTATGAAATCTCACATTCCCCCCTCTGGTCACACATTCACGTGTGACCATCAGGATCGATAAACAGCAACATAACATCATAACTCAATACTTAAACTCGGTACTTCAAAAACTCAGAAAACTCATAAAACATGTTCAGATCTTTCATAAAACTTGTCAAAAATCTTCAGTAAAATACCAAACTTCATCAGTTGATGGTTCCAGATATTGCTTTGAAAACAGTCTCTCCCACTTCTCTGTGTTGATTTCTTCAGGCTGCATTTGTGCCGAGCCATGAATTCTTCTGTGACGTGTCTTTCAATCACACGTTTCAGCTTTAGTGTCCAGATTCAGAAATCCAATTGTTCCAAATCATGTCCATGCAAAAGAGGACGCTGGTGTTGTCCATGTCTCAGCAGCTCACAGCCTGACTGGAATCAGGGGCTGTGCAGATTGTCCATGTGCTGGTCCAGATGCATTCTCTTGAGGTTTTTCAGTTTTGGCTTGAAAAAAAAAAAAAACACTTTTTTGTGTAAAAAAAAGTAGTCTTCTGTTCACTAGATGTTACAGACAAGGCCCGCATTCTTCCACCACCTGAAGAAGGTGAGCCAAGTCTGGGATCGTGTCTTTAATTCTGACAGAAGACATGTTTTATTGTCGATGGTAGACAGCACGAACAAACAAACACAGATACAACAGAATGCAAGTGTATTATACAGAGCGGAGGCATGGAGACCTCCAATCAGCAGCTGCCACAGTGCCATGTAGCTTGGCCTTCAGATAGACACAACAAGGGAAAAGTACAGGCTTCTGCACATTGATAGAATGATGAGTTTAACTTTAACAAAAGTTGCTTCAAAGTGTTATGAAATCTCACAGATGTTACCGTGTGGTTTATAGAAGGGACAGGGGAAGGTGATCCATGGCAGACCGGTGAGCGGGACCCATGATGAGCAACAAGTGTTAGATTTACTGCACCATGTGCATTCTGCTGCGGTGCGTCTCACTGTGGAGGCTGCGTCAGGAGTGCACCCGCTGCTGCTTTGGAACAGGGAGAGACTGAGGCCCTGTTTATACTGAGACGCTGCGCAGACGTTTCCAGGCTATTAACAGAAACGACCAGGCTCCTAATGCAAATTTCTCAGCGTTCACATGAGGTTGAAAAACGATGTAGTTCTAGCGCCCGGCCAGTAGTGGGCAGAGAAACTTTACAACACGACCCCCAGCCCCGTGCCCAGCCCCCCTCTCTGCAGTGTACTCACTTCCTGTGCCAGACCCTCAGAAAGTACCAACATCATTCTGCATTTTAACAGCAGCTGTGAAAATGGGAACTGAACCTAGAGCTTCGCGTGGTCTCGTTTGGACGAACGAAGGAGTAGAATTATCCTCTGTGCCGCGCTGGAAGCCCACGAAGCTAGTTAGTGTGACCGCCGCCATTGTTGTTGATGTTTGTTCTCCGCTACTGTGCATGTCCAAATGTACGTGTGGGAGCAGCAGGAGGTGGGGGTCAGAGCAGCAGGAGGTGGGGGTCAGAGCAGCAGGAGGTGGGGGTCAGAGCAGCAGGAGGTGGGGGTCAGAGCAGCAGGAGGTGGGGGTCAGAGCAGCAGGAGGTGGGGGTCAGAGCAGCAGGAGGCGGGGGCCAGAGCAGCAGGAGGCGGGGGTCAGAGCAGCAGGAGGTGGGGATCAGAGCAGCAGGAGGTGGGGGTCAGAGCAGCAGGAGGTGGGGGTCAGAGCAGCAGGAGGTGGGGGTCAGAGCAGCAGGAGGTGAGGGGTCAGAGCAGCAGGAGGTGGGGGTCAGAGCAGCAGGAGGTGGGGGTCAGAGCAGCAGGAGGTGGGGGTCAGAGCAGCAGGAGGTGGGGGCCAGAGCAGCAGGAGGTGGGGGTCAGAGCCGAGGGGGCAGCAGGAGGTGGGGTCAGAGCAGCAGGAGGCGGGGGTCAGAGCAGCAGGAGGCGGGGGCCAGAGCAGCAGGAGGTGGGGGTCAGAGCAGCAGGAGGGTGGGGTCAGAGCAGCAGGAGGTGGGGGTCAGAGCAGCAGGAGGTGGGGGTCAGAGCAGCAGGAGGTGGGGGTCAGAGCAGCAGGAGGTGGGGGTCAGAGCAGCAGGAGGTGGGGGTCAGAGCAGCAGGAGGTGGGGTCAGAGCAGCAGGAGGTGGGGGTCAGAGCAGCAGGAGGTGGGGGTCAGAGCAGCAGGAGGTGGGGGTCAGAGCAGCAGGAGGCGGGGGCCAGAGCAGCAGGAGGTGGGGGTCAGAGCAGCAGGAGGTGGGGGTCAGAGCAGCAGGAGGTGGGGGGTCAGAGCAGCAGGAGGTGGGGGTCAGAGCAGCAGGAGGTGGGGGTCAGAGCAGCAGGAGGTGGGGGTCAGAGCAGCAGGAGGTGGGGGTCAGAGCAGCAGGAGGTGGGGGTCAGAGCAGCAGGAGGCGGGGGCCAGAGCAGCAGGAGGTGGGGGTCAGAGCAGCAGGAGGTGGGGGTCAGAGCAGCAGGAGGTGGGGGTCAGAGCAGCAGGAGGCGGGGGTCAGAGCAGCAGGAGGTGGGGGTCAGAGCAGCAGGAGGGGGGGTCAGAGCAGCAGGAGGTGGGGGTCAGAGCAGCAGGAGGTGGGGGTCAGAGCAGCAGGAGGTGGGGGTCAGAGCAGCAGGAGGGGGGGTCAGAGCAGCAGGAGGTGGGGTCAGAGCAGCAGGAGGTGGGGGTCAGAGCAGCAGGAGGTGGGGGTCAGAGCAGCAGGAGGTGGGGGTCAGAGCAGCAGGAGGTGGGGGTCAGAGCAGCAGGAGGTGGGGGTCAGAGCAGCAGGAGGGGGGGCCAGAGCAGCAGGAGGTGGGGGTCAGAGCAGCAGGAGGTGGGGGTCAGAGCAGCAGGAGGTGGGGGTCAGAGCAGCAGGAGGTGGGGGTCAGCAGCAGCAGGAGGTGGGGGTAGAGCAGCAGGAGGTGGGGGTCAGAGCAGCAGGAGGCGGGGGTCAGAGCAGCAGGAGGCGGGGGTCAGAGCAGCAGGAGGTGGGGGTCAGAGCAGCAGGAGGTGGGGGTCAGAGCAGCAGGAGGTGGGGGTCAGAGCAGCAGGAGGTGGGGGTCAGAGCAGCAGGAGGTGGGGGTCAGAGCAGCAGGAGGTGGGGGTCAGAGCAGCAGGAGGTGGGGGTCAGAGCAGCAGGAGGTGGGGGTCAGAGCAGCAGGAGGTGGGGGTCAGAGCAGCAGGAGGTGGGGGTCAGAGCAGCAGGAGGTGGGGGTCAGAGCAGCAGGAGGGGGGGTCAGAGCAGCAGGAGGTGGGGGTCAGAGCAGCAGGAGGTGGGGGTCAGAGCAGCAGGAGGTGGGGGTCAGAGCAGCAGGAGGTGGGGGTCAGAGCAGCAGGAGGTGGGGCAGAGCAGCAGGAGGTGGGGGTCAGAGCAGCAGGAGGTGGGGGTCAGAGCAGCAGGAGGTGGGGGTCAGAGCAGCAGGAGGTGGGGGTCAGAGCAGCAGGAGGTGGGGGTCAGAGCAGCAGGAGGTGGGGGTCAGAGCAGCAGGAGGTGGGGGTCAGAGCAGCAGGAGGCGGGGGTCAGAGCAGCAGGAGGTGGGGGTCAGAGGGGGATTTCACACCTTGTCCCCTCTCGCGGGTGTGAAAGAGCCCCCGCTGTGCAGCGTTTCTGAGGCTGGATCTGAACACTTACGTTTTCACCTGGAACAGTCTTCGTATGAACGGTTGGTAGAAACCGATATCTAACTATACTGTTTTACTGCCACATTGTCTCCGTGTAAACTCAGCCTGACTCTGTTGCTCTGATCCCAGAGTCCGCGTGATTATGCGTTCAAACATTGAGAGATTCTGGACGGAGTGATAGCAATCACTGGCTTATACTATAGTTAAAATAAACATAAAGTAGCATTTTTAGCGAGTATTGAAGAGTTTTTTTTTTAATCTCAATGTCATAGCTGCTGAAGCCAAAACACTTGTTATAATATGGGCGGCAGTAGCTCAGTTGGTAGAGCGTTGGCCTTTGAGCCAGAAGGTCGTGGGTTCAAGCCCCGCTCAAGACTTTCACCATCGACTCCCACTGACTACTGTCGTTGTGTCCTTGGCAAGACACTTAACCTCTGGGAACACCAGCCACAGTGGGGCGGCTGCGGCTGTAAAGTGCCAAACTGCCGTTGTGTCCTTAGGCAAGACACTTCACCCCCATTGCCTAGAATGAGTCTGGTGTGTGTGTGAATGGTTGGTGGTGGTCGGAGGGGCCGATGGCGCATACTGGTTGCCTCGCTTCTGTCAGTGTGCCCCAGGGCAGCTGTGGCTACATTAGTAGTTTATCACCACCGTGTATGGAGTGAATGAATAATGACACATGTGAAGCGTCTTTGAGTGTCCAAAAAAGCGCTATATAAAACCGATGCATTATTATTATTATTATAATGTGAAAATGTATGTTGATTTTATATTTTCCTTTGTGTTGTAGATTGTTGACCCCAGGACCCCAAAATGCTGCAGCAGAGCTTGGATCAGCAGCTGACTTCTGCAGCTCTTCATAACTGATGAACTTCTGGATCCTGGATCTTGTTGTCGAACAGACAAAGCTGTATGCAGCACAATATTTCAGTGCACACACACAGCGTCTCCCATTCAGCAGAGAAAATGCATGGAAGCCCGTGACAGACTGCAGCTAAAAACCTTTTTTGGTTTGACATTTCTCACTGGGTTTGTAAAAAAAAAACTAACCTGGAAATGTATTGCGAGTGCGGAGGAAGTAGATTCCACCCCACACTTCAGCAGAGTGTGGGGTCACCTAATTACTATTCTTTATAAACTAAAGTAAAATTGTTTCACAAAGTGTTCAGAAAGTGTTATTTTTACTGTATATTTGTATACAAAGTGTTTTTATTGTATACAAGTTGAATATTTTATGTGTACATAAGACAATCCTTTGAGTGTATTGTGTGTACACGTTTAATTTGTTTTAAAATAATTATACATTAAAAATACAATTCAAAGTATTGTTTCTGTTTTGTGTCATAGTAAAAAACTGTCATACATTGAAAATATCAGTAAAGACCAAAAAAAACCACTTTTCTGCTTGAAAATGTGCGTTTCACAAAAAGGCTGTTTTCTCCAAATCAGGAAACAGCATTTTGTGTGAAAGTTACATATGTTGCACTCTCAATTGCTAAAAAACTAAAAGGGTTAGAAACTAACTTTTCTTTTTTAAATGAAAGCCAAGGGATAGAGCTTTCATTTGGTATGTTTCATACTTGTGTCAACCAAGGGCTTTACATTTCTATGCGGTTCGGAAAAACACTAAAAATGTCTAAAATCTCTGGCAGTTTGAGGGATGCTGCTTAAATGGCAGTGAATGAGTTAACAGATGTTTCCCTGACTTTAACATAATAATGGAGCAAGTATAAAATGCTGTATATTCTAGTTCCTCATTATCAAGTGCTGTCATGAATATTCTATATTTATAATTAACGCTTAATTAAACTAAAATGTTATCTATTTGAAAGTATACTCGTTTACTCAAATATCTGAGGAATGCAGCTCTGGACCGGGCTCTGTCCCGCAGGACCAGAGGGACCGGGCTCTGTCCCGCAGGACCACAGGGACCGTGCTCTGTCCCGCAGGACCAGAGGGACCGGGCTCTGTCCCGCAGGACCACAGGGACCGGGCTCTGTCCCGCAGGACCAGAGGGACCGGGCTCTGTCCCGCAGGACCAGAGGGACCGGGCTCTGTCCCGCAGGACCACAGGGACCGGGCTCTGTCCCGCAGGACCACAGGGACCGGGCTCTGTCCCGCAGGACCACAGGGACCGTGCTCTGTCCCGCAGGACCAGAGGGACCGGGCTCTGTCCCGCAGGACCAGAGGGACCGGGCTCTGTCCCGCAGGACCACAGGGACCGTGCTCTGTCCCGCAGGACCACAGGGACCGGGCTCTGTCCCGCAGGACCAGAGGGACCGGGCTCTGTCCCGCAGGACCAGAGGGACCGGGCTCTGTCCCGCAGGACCACAGGGACCGGGCTCTGTCCCGCAGGACCAGAGGGACCGGGCTCTGTCCCGCAGGACCAGAGGGACCGGGCTCTGTCCCGCAGGACCACAGGGACCGGGCTCTGTCCCGCAGGACCACAGGGACCGGGCTCTGTCCCGCAGGACCACAGGGACCGGGCTCTGTCCCGCAGGACCACAGGGACCGGGCTCTGTCCCGCAGGACCACAGGGACCGGGCTCTGTCCCCCAGGACCACAGGGACCGGGCTCTGTCCCCCAGGACCACAGGGACCGGGCTCTGTCCCCCAGGACCACAGGGACCGGGCTCTGTCCCCCAGGACCACAGGGACCGGGCTCTGTCCCCCAGGACCACAGGGACCGGGCTCTGTCCCCCAGGACCACAGGGACCGGGCTCTGTCCCCCAGGACCACAGGGACCGGGCTCTGTCCCGCAGGACCACAGGGACCGGGCTCTGTCCCGCAGGACCACAGGGACCGGGCTCTGTCCCCCAGGACCAGAGGGACCGGGCTCTGTCACCCAGGACCACAGGGACCGGGCTCTGTCCTGCAGGACCACAGGGACCGGGCTCTGTCCCGCAGGACCACAGGGACCGGGCTCTGTCCCGCAGGACCACAGGGACCGGGCTCTTTCCGTCCCGCAGGACCACAGGGACCGGGCTCTGTCCCCCAGGACCACAGGGACCGTGCTCTGTCCCCCAGGACCACAGGGACCGGGCTCTGTCCCCCAGGACCACAGGGACCGGGCTCTGTCCCGCAGGACCACAGGGACCGGGCTCTGTCCCCCAGGACCACAGGGACCGGGCTCTGTCCCCCAGGACCACAGGGACCGGGCTCTGTCCTGCAGGACCACAGGGACCGGGCTCTGTCCCGCAGGACCAGAGGGACCGGGCTCTGTCCCCCAGGACCACAGGGACCGGGCTCTGTCACCCAGGACCACAGGGACCGGGCTCTGTCACCCAGGACCACAGGGACCGGGCTCTGTCACCCAGGACCACAGGGACCGGGCTCTGTCCAGCAGGACCACAGGGACCGGGCTCTGTCCCGCAGGACCACAGGGACCGGGCTCTGTCCCGCAGGACCACAGGGACCGGGCTCTGTCCCGCAGGACCAGAGGGACCGGGCTCTGTCACCCAGGACCACAGGGACCGGGCTCTGTCACCCAGGACCACAGGGACCGGGCTCTGTCACCCAGGACCACAGGGACCGGGCTCTGTCCTGCAGGACCACAGGGACCGGGCTCTGTCCCGCAGGACCACAGGGACCGGGCTCTGTCCCGCAGGACCACAGGGACCGGGCTCTGTCCCGCAGGACCACAGGGACCGGGCTCTGTCCCGCAGGACCACAGGGACCGGGCTCTGTCCGTCCCGCAGGACCACAGGGACCGGGCTCTGTCCCGCAGGACCACAGGGACCGGGCTCTGTCCTGCAGGACCACAGGGACCGGGCTCTGTCCCGCAGGACCACAGGGACCGGGCTCTGTCCCGCAGGACCACAGGGACCGGGCTCTGTCCCGCAGGACCACAGGGACCGGGCTCTGTCCGTCCCGCAGGACCAGAGGGACCGGGCTCTGTCCCGCAGGACCACAGGGACCGGGCTCTGTCCTGCAGGACCACAGGGACCGGGCTCTGTCCCGCAGGACCACAGGGACCGGGCTCTGTCCGTCCCGCAGGACCACAGGGACCGGGCTCTGTCCCGCAGGACCACAGGGACCGGGCTCTGTCCCGCAGGACCACAGGGACCGGGCTCTGTCCCGCAGGACCACAGGGACCGTGCTCTGTCCCGCAGGACCAGAGGGACCGGGCTCTGTCCCCCAGGACCACAGGGACCGGGCTCTGTCCCGCAGGACCAGAGGGACCGGGCTCTGTCCCCCAGGACCACAGGGACCGGGCTCTGTCCTGCAGGACCACAGGGACCGGGCTCTGTCCCGCAGGACCACAGGGACCGGGCTCTGTCCCGCAGGACCACAGGGACCGGGCTCTGTCCCGCAGGACCACAGGGACCGGGCTCTGTCCCGCAGGACCACAGGGACCGGGCTCTGTCCGTCCCGCAGGACCAGAGGGACCGGGCTCTGTCCCGCAGGACCACAGGGACCGGGCTCTGTCCTGCAGGACCACAGGGACCGGGCTCTGTCCCGCAGGACCACAGGGACCGGGCTCTGTCCCCCAGGACCACAGGGACCGGGCTCTGTCCCGCAGGACCACAGGGACCGGGCTCTGTCCCGCAGGACCACAGGGACCGGGCTCTGTCCCGCAGGACCACAGGGACCGTGCTCTGTCCCGCAGGACCACAGGGACCGGGCTCTGTCCCCCAGGACCACAGGGACCGGGCTCTGTCCCGCAGGACCACAGGGACCGGGCTCTGTCCCCCAGGACCACAGGGACCGGGCTCTGTCCCGCAGGACCACAGGGACCGGGCTCTGTCCCCCAGGACCACAGGGACCGGGCTCTGTCCCGCAGGACCACAGGGACCGGGCTCTGTCCCGCAGGACCACAGGGACCGGGCTCTGTCCGTCCCGCAGGACCACAGGGACCGGGCTCTGTCCCCCAGGACCACAGGGACCGGGCTCTGTCCCGCAGGACCACAGGGACCGGGCTCTGTCCCCCAGGACCACAGGGACCGGGCTCTGTCCCCCAGGACCACAGGGACCGGGCTCTGTCCGCAGGACCACAGGGACCGGGCTCTGTCCCGCAGGACCACAGGGACCGGGCTCTGTCCCGCAGGACCACAGGGACCGGGCTCTGTCCCGCAGGACCACAGGGACCGTGCTCTGTCCCGCAGGACCACAGGGACCGGGCTCTGTCCCCCAGGACCACAGGGACCGGGCTCTGTCCCGCAGGACCACAGGGACCGGGCTCTGTCCCCCAGGACCACAGGGACCGGGCTCTGTCCCGCAGGACCACAGGGACCGGGCTCTGTCCCCCAGGACCACAGGGACCGGGCTCTGTCCCGCAGGACCACAGGGACCGGGCTCTGTCCCGCAGGACCACAGGGACCGGGCTCTGTCCGTCCCGCAGGACCACAGGGACCGGGCTCTGTCCCCCAGGACCACAGGGACCGGGCTCTGTCCCGCAGGACCACAGGGACCGGGCTCTGTCCCCCAGGACCACAGGGACCGGGCTCTGTCCCCCAGGACCACAGGGACCGGGCTCTGTCCCGCAGGACCACAGGGACCGGGCTCTGTCCCCCAGGACCACAGGGACCGGGCTCTGTCCCCCAGGACCACAGGGACCGGGCTCTGTCCCGCAGGACCACGGGGACCGGGCTCTGTCCCGCAGGACCACAGGGACCGGGCTCTGTCCCGCAGGACCACAGGGACCGGGCTCTGTCCCGCAGGACCACAGGGACCGGGCTCTGTCCCCCAGGACCACAGGGACCGGGCTCTGTCCCGCAGGACCACAGGGACCGGGCTCTGTCCCCCAGGACCACAGGGACCGGGCTCTGTCCCCCAGGACCACAGGGACCGGGCTCTGTCCCGCAGGACCAGAGGGACCGGGCTCTGTCCCGCAGGACCAGAGGGACCGGGCTCTGTCCCCCAGGACCACAGGGACCGGGCTCTGTCCCGCAGGACCAGAGGGACCGGGCTCTGTCCCGCAGGACCAGAGGGACCGGGCTCTGTCCCCCAGGACCACAGGGACCGGGCTCTGTCCCCCAGGACCACAGGGACCGGGCTCTGTCTGCTGCCATAATGAACCATGAAAACCAATGTTATCCAAAGGCAAATCACGGCAGTGTCATAAAAAGCAGAGAAACAAAAACATGAATGAACACAATGATCCAGAGAGAGACCAGAGAACTACTGAAAGAGAGAGCAATGACAGCTCTAAAGATCAGCTGTAGCTCTGCCATTTCAGGGAAATGTACAATTAAATATTAATATGACATTTAAATCATCCACCTCCGGAATCGTTTCATAATCTCTCTATAAATCCCTTGTCATACAGTTAGCTCCGCGGCTAGCGCGAATGCTAACAACACATCCACTCACATAAAGTCCGCTTCTTCATGGTTCTCCCTCAGAACTACCATCGTGCCCGGGTAGGGAGGACCGTGGAGGACCGTGGAGGACCGTGGAGCTGTGCACACGGGGGAGGCTGGGCTGAACCCGGGGAGGAGAGCGCGGCTGGGGGAGAGTTTGTTTGGGTTAGGGGCGTTAGCGTTAGCGTTAGCGTTAGCATTAGCGTTAGCATTAGCGTTAGCATTAGCGTTAGCATTAGCGTTAGCGTTAGCATTAGCGTTAGCATTAGCATTAGCATTTGCCGCTAGCTGTTGGCGACTGACAGGAGGAGGGCGGGACAAAGAAGGCAGGGCTTTGATGCCTATCGTGGCTAAATATTATTAATACAATATTATTATATTTACAGTAAATGGGATGAATTTGAATATTTCAAACATAAAATTTCGGTCAAATGTAAAGGAAAGGAACTTAAAGGAACTCACTTTGGATTAAAAGATCAATGGGCTATATGCACGGGGAGGCGTGACGTCCTTTCCTGTTACGCAGATCAGCCCGTTCATTTCCTGCCTATGCTGTCCTATGGCATTTAGGAGAGTTTTAGTGACGTTATTTAGTAATTAGATCGATACATTCAGCTGAGACTGACCCAAAAGTGTCACTGTGCTTTCCCTCTGAGGTAGAGCTTTGACTGAGGCCACTTAGAGCGATTTTTAAACTTTATAAAAACACAATGACAGCACAATCAAAGAGCACTGTTGTGTCCCAAAAATGCCCAGTATCTTCACAGTTTAATTCCCGCTTGAGCATTATTTGGGAAACTCATGTAAACCACTGCTGAACTCCAGTGAAACTCAAGCCGTTTCCCGCGAACAGGAAGTGAGGGGGAGCTTTAGCTAAAACCCGGAAGTGGTGCGTGCATAGAGCCAATTCCCAAAATAAATCATATGTCAGTGGTCCTCTGTTCAAAGCACTGACAGACCATATGTCAGTGGTCCATGTTCAAAGCACTGACAGACCATATGTCAGTGGTCCATGTTCAAAGCTCTGACAGACCATATGTCAGTGGTCCTCTGTTCAAAGCTCTGACAGACCATATGTCAGTGGTCCATGTTCAAAGCACTGACAGACCATATGTCAGTGGTCCATGTTCAAAGCACTGACAGACCATATGTCAGTGGTCCATGTTCAAAGCTCTGACAGACCATATGTCAGTGGTCCATGTTCAAAGCACTGACAGACCATATGTCAGTGGTCCTCTGTTCAAAGCTCTGACAGACCATATGTCAGTGGTCCATGTTCAAAGCTCTGACAGACCATATGTCAGTGGTCCATGTTCAAAGCTCTGACAGACCATATGTCAGTGGTCCATGTTCAAAGCACTGACAGACCATATGTCAGTGGTCCATGTTCAAAGCTCTGACAGACCATATGTCAGTGGTCCATGTTCAAAGCACTGACAGACCATATGTCAGTGGTCCATGTTCAAAGCACTGACAGACCATATGTCAGTGGTCCATGTTCAAAGCACTGACAGACCATATGTCAGTGGTCCATGTTCAAAGCACTGACAGACCATATGTCAGTGGTCCATGTTCAAAGCTCTGACAGACCATATGTCAGTGGTCCATGTTCAAAGCACTGACAGACCATATGTCAGTGGTCCATGTTCAAAGCACTGACAGACCATATGTCAGTGGTCCATGTTCAAAGCACTGACAGACCATATGTCAGTGGTCCATGTTCAAAGCACTGACAGACCATATGTCAGTGGTCCTCTGTTCAAAGCACTGACAGACCATATGTCAGTGGTCCTCTGTTCAAAGCACTGACAGACCATATGTCAGTGGTCCATGTTCAAAGCACTGACAGACCATATGTCAGTGGTCCATGTTCAAAGCTCTGACAGACCATATGTCAGTGGTCCATGTTCAAAGCACTGACAGACCATATGTCAGTGGTCCTCTGTTCAAAGCTCTGACAGACCATATGTCAGTGGTCCATGTTCAAAGCACTGACAGACCATATGTCAGTGGTCCATGTTCAAAGCTCTGACAGACCATATGTCAGTGGTCCATGTTCAAAGCCTGACAGACCATATGTCAGTGGTCCATGTTCAAAGCACTGACAGACCATATGTCAGTGGTCCATGTTCAAAGCACTGACAGACCATATGTCAGTGGTCCATGTTCAAAGCACTGACAGACCATATGTCAGTGGTCCATGTTCAAAGCACTGACAGACCATATGTCAGTGGTCCATGTTCAAAGCTCTGACAGACCATATGTCAGTGGTCCTCTGTTCAAAGCACTGACAGACCATATGTCAGTGGTCCATGTTCAAAGCACTGACAGACCATATGTCAGTGGTCCATGTTCAAAGCACTGACAGACCATATGTCAGTGGTCCATGTTCAAAGCACTGACAGACCATATGTCAGTGGTCCTCTGTTCAAAGCACTGACAGACCATATGTCAGTGGTCCATGTTCAAAGCACTGACAGACCATATGTCAGTGGTCCATGTTCAAAGCACTGACAGACCATATGTCAGTGGTCCATGTTCAAAGCACTGACAGACCATATGTCAGTGGTCCATGTTCAAAGCTCTGACAGACCATATGTCAGTGGTCCATGTTCAAAGCACTGACAGACCATATGTCAGTGGTCCATGTTCAAAGCTCTGACAGACCATATGTCAGTGGTCCATGTTCAAAGCTCTGACAGACCATATGTCAGTGGTCCATGTTCAAAGCACTGACAGACCATATGTCAGTGGTCCATGTTCAAAGCACTGACAGACCATATGTCAGTGGTCCATGTTCAAAGCACTGACAGACCATATGTCAGTGGTCCATGTTCAAAGCACTGACAGACCATATGTCAGTGGTCCATGTTCAAAGCACTGACAGACCATATGTCAGTGGTCCATGTTCAAAGCTCTGACAGACCATATGTCAGTGGTCCATGTTCAAAGCTCTGACAGACCATATGTCAGTGGTCCATGTTCAAAGCACTGACAGACCATATGTCAGTGGTCCATGTTCAAAGCACTGACAGACCATATGTCAGTGGTCCATGTTCAAAGCACTGACAGACCATATGTCAGTGGTCCATGTTCAAAGCTCTGACAGACCATATGTCAGTGGTCCATGTTCAAAGCACTGACAGACCATATGTCAGTGGTCCATGTTCAAAGCACTGACAGACCATATGTCAGTGGTCCTCTGTTCAAAGCACTGACACCATATGTCAGTGGTCCATGTTCAAAGCACTGACAGACCATATGTCAGTGGTCCTCTGTTCAAAGCACTGACAGACCATATGTCAGTGGTCCATGTTCAAAGCACTGACAGACCATATGTCAGTGGTCCATGTTCAAAGCTCTGACAGACCATATGTCAGTGGTCCATGTTCAAAGCACTGACAGACCATATGTCAGTGGTCCATGTTCAAAGCTCTGACAGACCATATGTCAGTGGTCCATGTTCAAAGCACTGACAGACCATATGTCAGTGGTCCATGTTCAAAGCACTGACAGACCATATGTTAGTGGTCCTCTGTTCAAAGCACTGACAGACCATATGTCAGTGGTCCATGTTCAAAGCACTGACAGACCATATGTCAGTGGTCCATGTTCAAAGCACTGACAGACCATATGTCAGTGGTCCATGTTCAAAGCACTGACAGACCATATGTCAGTGGTCCATGTTCAAAGCACTGACAGACCATATGTCAGTGGTCCATGTTCAAAGCACTGACAGACCATATGTCAGTGGTCCATGTTCAAAGCACTGACAGACCATATGTCAGTGGTCCATGTTCAAAGCTCTGACAGACCATATGTCAGTGGTCCATGTTCAAAGCACTGACAGACCATATGTCAGTGGTCCATGTTCAAAGCACTGACAGACCATATGTCAGTGGTCCATGTTCAAAGCTCTGACAGACCATATGTCAGTGGTCCTCTGTTCAAAGCACTGACAGACCATATGTCAGTGGTCCTCTGTTCAAAGCACTGACAGACCATATGTCAGTGGTCCATGTTCAAAGCACTGACAGACCATATGTCAGTGGTCCATGTTCAAAGCACTGACAGACCATATGTCAGTGGTCCATGTTCAAAGCACTGACAGACCATATGTCAGTGGTCCATGTTCAAAGCACTGACAGACCATATGTCAGTGGTCCATGTTCAAAGCACTGACAGACCATATGTCAGTGGTCCATGTTCAAAGCACTGACAGACCATATGTCAGTGGTCCATGTTCAAAGCACTGACAGACCAATGTCAGTGGTCCATGTTCAAAGCTCTGACAGACCATATGTCAGTGGTCCATGTTCAAAGCACTGACAGACCATATGTCAGTGGTCCATGTTCAAAGCACTGACAGACCATATGTCAGTGGTCCTGTTCAAAGCTCTGACAGACCATATGTCAGTGGTCCATGTTCAAAGCACTGACAGACCATATGTCAGTGGTCCATGTTCAAAGCTCTGACAGACCATATGTCAGTGGTCCATGTTCAAAGCACTGACAGACCATATGTCAGTGGTCCATGTTCAAAGCACTGACAGACCATATGTCAGTGGTCCTCTGTTCAAAGCACTGACAGACCATATGTCAGTGGTCCATGTTCAAAGCTCTGACAGACCATATGTCAGTGGTCCATGTTCAAAGCACTGACAGACCATATGTCAGTGGTCCATGTTCAAAGCTCTGACAGACCATATGTCAGTGGTCCATGTTCAAAGCACTGACAGACCATATGTCAGTGTCCATGTTCAAAGCTCTGACAGACCATATGTC